AAAAACATAATTTTGCGCAAAAGCCACTAAATCATGGATCAAAGCCTTTTGTTTTCTTTTCATCCAGGGATTAACTTCTGTTTCCGGCCACGTGCAGACAACAAGATCACATACCTATCAGGGACACGGTGTAACACGTGTATGAGGTCTAGATCGTAGTCGTCTGGCCATGTGGCGTATATAACGGTGGAAGGTGTTAGCTCTTGCCGCCAGTCAAAACACTGCACTGGTTGTGGGTTTTCCGGTATCTACCGTCCGTCCTTTCCGAGATAGTGACTCTGGTGGAACAGGACGGCTCAGAGGATTATTACGATGCCCAGACATAACAATAACAAGTCCAGACACATGATACACTCGAAATTAAGAATGAAAGCAGACTACACGTAACGAATGAAAAATCAGCCACACCTACAGGCAGCGGCTGATGACCAAAAGTCGTTCGGCGCGACACACTTGTCACGGAACCTAAAAATAGACCGATTGGGCGTTGGTGATCTAGAACCGTCAGCACTTAATTGGCTCAGCAATCATCACACCGAGTAGCAGCTGCTGGTGACGTCAGTTTGACGTCACGTGGTGTCAGCGATGTCACAGTTTTACAGACGCCCGTCTAGCCGGCCCATCCCTGGCGGCGCGGAGCGCGGGCGCGGCGCTCCTGTCTGCCGACGCTCCGTGCCGTCGGGGAACCCAGTCTGGACCGCTGCCAGACCGGGCCCGCGGCGCAGACTCGTCCGTTTACACTCCCGGACCTCTTGCCAAAAGAACTGAACGGGTGGGCAGAGATTCAGACTTTGTGCAATGCGCAATGTTTTGAACAGAGTTGCTCGTAGAGCTGATCTCAGTCACCAGACCGAAGCTTTTCCAGGATTCATGCATGCTTGGGGTCCCATATCGGCTCCTAAGGACCCTATGAGCGTTTAAGAGCTCCACGCCGGCTCCTACCCCCCCCCCCTGCGCCAGCTTTTGAGGGCCCTCAAGCTGGCTCCTGAGGTCTGAGGGGCCCACACTGACTCTTGCGGTCCCTTATAGTCGGCTCCTCGGGACACCCTGCCGGCTCACTTGGGGCTCCAAACAGGCTTCTTGGGGCCTCACACCAACACTTAAGGCCTCATTCAAGCTCCCGAGAAGAACACCATGCGGACCCCACTTCCGAGTCCGAGAGCTCCCATGTCGGCTCCCGGGGACCATATGCCGGTTCCTGGGGACTTTTGCCGATTCATGAAGCTCAACACCGCCGCTTCTGAGGTCACACACGGACTCCTCAGCCCCGAGCCTCACGCTTACCTCATGAGAGTCCTTACACGGGCTCTTAGTAGGTACAACGTCGACCTTTGACTCAGTTTGCTTTAGAGGACCCCCACGCCAAACTCCGATTGCCCCAAACAGGCTTCTTTTAAAACCTTCACCGGCATTAGGACCCAATCCAGGCTCTGAGGGGTCACGCTAGCTTCTAAGGGACCCGAGCGGGCCGCCGCCACCTATAGGTGTCGCCGGAGGGGCCCATGGGGCTCTGAGAAACTTGCACCCCGCCGCCCTGATGTAAAAAAAAATACTTTCCGTCACCACTAAGTCTCATGAACCAAACCAGCATGATGCCCCCGGGAGTCAGTGTGGAGCCCATCGGCTGGTGCTGAGCTGAGCCGTCAGGAACCTCCGTGGGGCCCATTAAGGTCGGCATGTGGGCTCAGGATCTGGAGGAAGGGCCCCGTGGCCCGTGGGCCACGAGCCGGTGTGGTCCCCCAGGAGCCTGCGAGTGAAGGCCCTCGGAGTTCGGCATAGGGACCTCCAGGGCCTCCTCTAAAATGTTAACTGGGGGGGGCCGCGGCCCCCCCCTGTGATGCCGCTGGCCCCCCCAGTGGAGCTGAAATCGCGTCACTGGGGGGGGGGGGGGGGGGCACACAGTTAAACCAATAATGAAAAATGAGGAAATTGAGAAAATGAGAAAAATGAGGAAATTTCATTAAAAGCGTACCACACAAACAATCCAGATTCCAGACTATCTCCACGATCACCACGTTACTAATTTTAGTTTTCTTATACCTACCGTTGTTTTTTATCTACAAAGAACATTTCACATCCGCATGTTGCCTAAGATGAGCCACGGAATGAGGTCAGACAATGCAGTTTTTATAAGCGAACACCGACTGAAGCCCGAACGGGGCATGGCCTTTGACAAATTTCTTTGAGAAGGAAGCGTCCCGGAAGGTCGCCCTCTCAATCAGTCAAACGCTCACGCTTCTACACGGAGGACTATTTTATTCGGGAGACGGGTTCATTCTTGAAGAGGAAATCTTGCTACGGTCAAATGAGAACGCGGCGGAGCACGGGAAAAGTTTTTATTCCCCGGTGTTTGGGACTGGAAGCAATAAGCCCTCACACTTATTGAGGGGCTAGCCGTTAGATAGACCCACCCCTATAGGGTTTTCGTAAATAACTCACGTAAAAAGTGGCCCAGCGTGGCAAAACTTTTAGTATTCTTGTGATTATCAATTGGCTGCACATTTCCTGAAATGACCCTGGTCCCTAGCCTTCATTACTATTGACCTGTGGCTTGTTTCTTAAGTCATTTTCAGGCAGGTAGCTTTTTAGGATAGTGAGCTGTTTTCAGGCAGGTAGCTGTTGGTTAATAGATTCCAGTGTTAGTGGGAAAGATTGACCTCACACTTTAAGCGGTTGGTTAGATTCCTGACGCACTGCGTGCCGTTTAATACAATTTTTCTATAATATAGGGATTTTGTTTTATTCTCGAAAGTCGAAAAGCCAGAAATTTTCGTCGATTTCGGACGTTTCCGGGATCGTTAGGTACCTAAAATGTGACCCTGCCGCCTGGATCCACCAGTAGGGTGACGTAGCCTACCATTTCTTGAATATTTTTTTTTTTCAAATTAAAAATGAAAATCATGGTATCAGGGCTGTGACGAAAAATAAGTGGCCTAAATCCGATGAGAAAACTGGATTTGGGGGTACCCTAGGTTTGACTTCTGAGCCTCTGCCCCCCCCCCCCCCCAGTGAAAATTCCTTAGAGGAGGCCCTGGGGACCTCAGAGGAGCATGTGAGTGAAGGCCCTCGGCAGGAGCGGATCCAGGAAAACTCCAAGGGAGGGTTATGAATCGAAGTGGTGCACCGACCCTACCTATACTTAAAATTAAAAACTCAACGGATTTGGGCGACTTAATAAGCTCTCGCCGGCCGAGGGGGATCGGGTGCCGCCCCCCCCCCCTCGGCCTCATATGTCTTTCGCGATAGCTCCGACCTCGCCGGTGATAGAGAGCTGATGAACTTGGCATACCTGACCTTTGATTCAAGTTGAATGTTTTCAGTTTTGACATCAACCGCATTTTCGGGTCAGGTCAGGTCACTGACCTACGACGTCATAAGTGTACGTACAGTCCACAGCATAAGTAATGTGAGGCTTCAGTCCTGGGTATGTTCTGCTTCTGAAGCTTAGGAATGATTAGCCAGACCACAATGCAACTTTGAATGTAGCTAACCTGTATCGTTACCCTTGCAGCTGCAACTTTATCTATTGACGTCCTCTTTTCGAGCACTCCGCATTAAAATATCGGCAGTCAAAACCATCCGTTGAGATTGGTAAAACCGCACATTATGTACTTTAGCGGTGGGCTGTAGGTAAGTACCTCTGCACGGTCTTCAGATGTCGCACATTCGCAACGCCCTCACTGCTATAGAGGAGCTTTCACAGGGAAATGAAACTTGCAGGACCTAGTATCCATTTGGAGTCTCACAAATTTTACAACTCGGATTTTTCCTAAAGTTCATATGAATTATGAGGTAAGGTCATTTTCGTGAACTCACCATTATAAGTCAATGGGAAAAATGAAAACTGCTATTCTGGCGCCGGGAACGATCTCCAACTATCTCAAGCGCACAGAATCGTGATTTCATGCACTCCTTGCAAGGTTCAATGAGTCACTTTTGCAATGTTGACCTTGCGTGACGTCATTTTTGACGTCATTAGGGTCATATTAGTTTTTCGTCAATAATTCCCGATCGAATTGAGCTAGCGAGTCGGGAAAGCCACCAATGGACTCAGGGAGACCTGCCGAATCGAATGATATGCGACATGACTTCCTTCGACCAATTTCGTGACCTGGGGGTGCTGACAGGTCTGCGGTGCCCCTGGGAGGACTGTGGTGTCCCTGACAAACCTGAAGTGCCAACGACAGGCCTGTGGTGCCCCTGAGAGGTCCATAGTGCCCCTGAGAGGCTCATTGTGCCCCTGCGAGGCTCATTGTGCCCCTGCGAGGCTGACGGTGCCATAGAGATATTATATACATCTCTATGGGTGTTGCCCTTGCTAGGCCGCTGGTGCCCCTGGGCCTGGGCCCTGACAGAACTGTGGTGCCCCTGACAAGCCTGAAGTGTCCCTGACAGGCACGTGGTGCCCCTGACAGGACTGGGGGCCCCTGACAGGCCCAAGGTGCCCCTGCAAGGCCGGTGTTACCCCTGCAAGGCCTCTGGTGCCCCTGGCAGGTCTGTGGTACCCCTGACAGGTCTGTGATGCTCCTCGCAGGCCTGTGGTGCTCGTGCTAGGCCGAAGGTGCTTCTGACAGGCCTGTGTGACAAGCTTGTGGTGCCCCTGACAGACCCGTGGCGCCCCTGCTAGGCCTGTGGCGCCCCTGGCGGACCTGTAGTGCCCCTGTCAGGCCTGTGGTGCCCCCGGGCCCCAAGGGGGATTCATGAGCCATGTGAGTTGTGACCCCCCCCCCCCCCCCCGCCCCTGGATCCGTCACGTCACTGGCCCTCGGAGTTCGGCGTAGGGATCTCAGAGCCAGCCAGTATGAGGGCCCAAAAAGCAGACCTCGCCGGCAAAATGACCACCACAGTCGACGGCCGGCGCGGCATAAGACCGTTGCCTTCTGACGAGCAGGCGATAGGAAGCAAAATATTACTTTACGGACTAAAGGCAATACGAAGGTATCCCTTCAAGCTTGTGTAAGATAAATTCCACGCACTAGTTACGAATGTGACGCAACTTAGAAATGGCTAAGAAATGACTCCATTTGCTGTAACTCTACCCATTTTATGCAATTTTAAAGACATTTTTATTCAGAATACGTTTAATGAATATACATATGATAACTAAGGCTTTGTTAGTGAAGATAAAAAGAAATTACATGTGAAAAATTTACCACAAAAGTGTGTTACGTCATTTGTATGTTACGAACGCGCCATCAAATGAAAGCCGAAGCACGTGTCCTTGAAAAGCACATCCGAGTGAGAGACATGTGTGTGTGTTGTGTGCAACGATAGATGTTGGAGGATTAAGTCTAGTTTTTATGCCTTTTTAAACCTCAATAGTTTGAATGCGTCCAATATCTGTCCCTAATGGTGCATACAATAGATTTCTGAAGACATTTGGATCATAGCACTGTTTGATTTTCAACAATTATGAAGTTACTGCGCAAGGACATCGACAAGGACGGGAAAGGGTATGCTTTTATTTGATGCATTAATTTGCTTTCTTGTCTTAATATAGCGTGCTTCAGCTTAGCATGCTCCCTTCAATTTGGTCTCACAACCTTTTTGGAGTTCAGATATATCCAACATGGACCGTATTTAATTATGGTCATCTTCAAACATCTGTCCAGTGAATTATGATTATAATATAGTTCATTGACGTTTTATTTTTGTAGGCTATCTACCTGAACCTTCCAAGGATCATCAGTATTTGAAAAAGTGAAAGATGCCAGCTTATTCTGGTCATGGCTGGATGGCTCAGCTTCTGCGGATTCTTATGATACCTATGCGCAATAGGAAGCTCTGCAATTATCTGATTGTTTTAGTTGAAGGCGATTTCCCTCCTTTTGCATCCTTAAAAAAACTGAAGAAATTAGCACAACATAGATTGGCACCATATCATCATCATCATTCTTTATTATGCACCGCTGTTACAGCGACAAATAAAATGTACCTACATATTATATACATTTGTGTGATCACAAATGATCGGAGCCTCAGGAGCAGGAGCAGTGACAGCACGTGAGGAGCCTCAGTAGAGCACATATGGCCTTGGAAGTTGGAGAAAGCAGTAATATACTTAACTAATCATTAGTTTTGGAAAACAAATTTTGATCAACCCCAATGCCCACAAGTCGCAACTGACCTCAAGTGAATTGGGGGGGGGGGCTGGATATTGCTGCCAAATTCTGATACAGAAAATATTCAATTTCTTATTTCTGTGAAGACTGGAAGGACCATTTTGCTCTTAATAGATTACATTTTGCACTACAGAAATTATCCAACCAGATCACACTGGCAGGTTGAAGTTCTTAAATGCCAGGCAGATCAACTTTAGAGTGCCATCATGTGATAGTAAGACAACTTTTAAATGAGTGACCAGAGAAGGCCTTCAGCCACATTATTCTGCAAGTTACGCTGAATAACTCAAAAAATTTGGAAGAAAATCTGAGTGCCTACCTAATTGTTTGTTTCAGAATTGTTGCGTTGATTCCTGAGGATGCTGAGGACATTTGGCACGCCTACAATCTCATCCACCCGGGAGATGCAATTCGAGCCTCGACAATCAGGTGAACTTGCTGTATGTGTGTTTCTGTGTGTACTGCTAACGAAAACTTACCTCATCGAACAACCCTGATCGAACTTTCCGGCATCAGGTTTCCCTCTTCCCAGTCTTCCCTGGGCCACCTACCAGGCTGGCGGACAACCCCTGGGGCAGATTTGTTGTCAGGGGGGCTCCGCATTCGCGGTGACCGCCGCATAACGAGCCGCATAACGAGGTACGAGCCAGCGCAAGTGGGGCCGACGGGTCGTCTCGTCCTAGTTCGGCATGAACCGTGAGGCTTTCGGTCTGGTGAAATTCCCATGTGTATGGTCGTCAAGTGTGTTTAGTAGATGTTTCTTTTGCAGAAGGGTGGTTTTATTGGTTGCAACCCATTTTATTCCGTGTTTTATGCTTAACAGTCCGACGTTATGGGCGCCTTTGCAGTCGGGGCGCCCCCTGTCCCCCCAAAAAAATCATCATTATTGAGCAATGCCAATTGTGCTAAAAATACTGCTGCAGCCTATGTGAACCCCAGATGTGTATTTTGCACCACCACAGGATTTCATGGAGAGGTCAGCCTGATACCTAAATAGTAGACATTGCAGCATTGAAATGTTATATAGAAAACTCCATATTAATTCGACTTATGCAGTAACGAGTGAGTTTTATGAGTAACATGTTCTTCTTTCTTAAGCAGTAGTCATGAAAGTGAATTGTTCCTTCGACATGTGCAGTGTACAGTACACAATACACGCATATGCCTTGCTACTATTCAGTCCAGGTACTTGTTACTATGTACCCGACCGAGTCGGCCACGGGCTCCCAGTCTAGTAACTTTGTAACATTCTCTCTCCACCTGCAGGAAGGTGCAGACCTAGGCGGCCACGGGTTCGTCGTCCAGTTACATTGTAACCGCCCCCCCCCCCCCTTCACCCGCAGGAAGGTGCATACCTAGTCTGCCACGGGCTCGTCCTCCAGTTACATTGTAACCGTCCTCCCCTCCGCCCTCAGGAAGGTACAGACCGAGTCGGCCACGGGCTCCTCCTCCAGTAACCGAGTGCGCACCACCCTCACCATTCAGGCGGAGGATATGGACTTTGACACACACGCGGCCGTGCTGCGCATCAAGGGCAGGAACGTGGAGGAGAACCAGTATGTCAAGGTGCGGTACCGCCTGAGCGAGCTACGCGAGGATGGGGTCAGAGTAAACGGTTGATCTTACATTGGCGGCGATAGTATCGGGCCCAGAGTGTTGAGATTGAAGTGTTTCGGAGGTCTGCTCCATTAGACAGACAGCTCCGAAATGGGGGTAGACGACCCATGCCCACAGTGTGTTTGGTGCATTTTTGTACTTTTATCTAGCTTTAACAAATTGCCGGAAGGCCGTATCACCGATGGCTTTAGTCAACTATTAATTGTGTAAAGCCATTGTCTGTTAGATGCAGGGCTGCGGAGTCGATGGATTTTCGGCGACTCCGACTCCGACTCCGACTCCGGCTTTCAAAAACTAGCTCCGACTCCGACTCCGACTCCGGGCAGAATTGTCGACTCCGACCGACTCCAACTCCCGACTCCGACTCCGCAGACCTAGCAGGGCTGCGGACTGCGGAGTCGACAGATTTTCGGTGACTTCGACTCCGACTCCGGCTCGGGTTTCTAAAATCGACTCCGACTCCGACTCCGGTCACAACTGTCGACTCCGACCGACTCCGACTCCGCAGCCCTGGTTAGATGCGTCTGTTTTTTTCTTGTAACATATCTTGGTTGAAATAGGGAATCGTTTTTCTGTGTTATCCGGCCCCAAAGTGTCACGGGTGCCGGAGAGATGTTCCTTTTTTTCTGCTTTACGAGCTTATTTTTCCTCTTCTGGCAGATGGGAGCGTACCACACCCTGGACATAGAAGCCAATCGAAAGTTCTCTCTGCAGAAGAATTACTGGGACTCCATCTCCATCGAGCGGGTGGAGATGGCCTGTGACCCCACTCAGGTACGGTCGCTGGCGACGACCTGCGGTTAGCTTCGGTCATTGTGATGATGGTTGACATTGTAATGTCATCTTTTCGTGAAATATCAACTCCCCGCAGGGGGCTGACCGTGGTCAGAGCTGCTGCTTAGCCGGGGTCATCTGGCTCCGGCTGTGCGGCGGCTGTGACTTCGGCCAGTAAGGGGAGTAGCGCCCCCTCGGCCCCAGCTTGACGCGCGTTTTGACCTGGACTTGCCTTGCTTACTGGATGGATTGTCTGCAGGATTGGCCCCGCAGGGGGTTGGCAGTGGCCGGGGTCGCTGTCGGACTGGGTTCCTTGGGCCTTTGCCCCGCGGCGGCCTTGGCCTCGGCCAGCAAGGGGAGTAGCGCCCCCTCGGCCCCAGCTTGACCCATGCTTGCTTGCGACTTGCTTTGATCGCTGGTTGGACAGATGGTACGGCCCGACTTTTCTTGGTTTTCGTGGTTTTGTTTCTCTTGAGCGGTCTCTGTTTGCTTTTGCTTTGCTTTTCACCGGATGTCCGCGTTTCTTTCGATCACAGCTTTCTGATTCTTTTCCTACCTTTTTCGTTGTTTTTGCACCCGCAGGAACACAGCCGAGTTGGGCTAGTGTAAGGGGAGTGGCGTCCCCTCGGGTACCAGCCGGTTTTACTAGGCTAGGCGAGCCGACCCGTACCCCAGGACAACGGGATCCTGGAGGTTGAGCCCCCCACCGTGCGGAGCCAGTCGCGGTGGCTGGGCAACACGCCTCTTTGGCCCTGAGTTCTGTAAGGGCGGGACACTCAGTGGGGCGCCGCACTTGAGGAGCCATTCCCAGTCGTGACGCCGCCGGGGGTGGTGTCTGAGAGGTGTCGCCGGCGGGGTTCGGGCACTTGTGCTCGTCCTCCGTCGGTGGGACTGATCCGTCGCTGCCCCTGGCGGTGACTCGGCTAGGCGTCAAGGGAGGAGGCGGTATCCGACCGTGGGGGGTGGTGAGTCTCTCTCTCCCCCGCGGAAGGTGCCGCCAAGTCCCGTACAGTCAGCTCGGCCGTCCCAGGCCTTGTAGCGGCGCCGTTGCGGAGCGTCGGCGGCCGAGCTGGCGGAGACCAAGCACACTCCATGGATAACTCGACCAACCCCCCTTCCCCCACTCTTACCAATCCTTCGGCCTCGGCCGATCCTCGCCCGTTGGCCTCGGCCGACAGGCGAACGGTGCTTGAAAAAGGTCCACGATCTCCTAAGATCCTCATCTTCCGGAGCGCAGACAGGGAGCTGAGCTCTCTGTCGCCCTTCCAGCGGAAGGATGGCTGCGACCGGTTTGGTTCGATAGTTCGTTGTGACCGGATGCGTGATGGCGCGCTGGAGGTCGAGTTCAGGAAAAGCGAGGAGGCGGCGAAAGCATTGGACGCTACTCGCTTCGTGTTCTCCGAGGGACGGGCATCCGGCCGGAGGCTCGTTTCCATCCCGCTTACAGTGGAGCCCCACCGTTCTAAGAACTCCTCACGAGGGGTCATTAACTGTTTCGATTTGAGGGGAGTGAGCGACGAGGATATTGCGGACGGGCTCGCCGATTTCGGCGTGACAGCGGCTCGCCGCATCATGACGAAGAGAGGCACGGTCTCGACCAACAACATCATTCTGACATTTGACTCTACCGACTTGCCGAGTGAGATTCGCGTGGGCTACGTGAAGGTTCGCGTGCGGCCTTTCGTCCCAGCGCCCATGCGCTGCTTCCGCTGCCAACGTTTCGGCCACACAAAGGACAACTGCCGAGGAAGACCCACGTGCTCCAAGTGTGCTTCGCAGGACCACACTGACGAAACCTGTGACTCGGAGACCCCCCGATGCGTCAACTGCGGAGAGGGGCAGACGCCGCACTCCGCGTATGATAGGTCTTGCCCTGCATACGTCAAGGAGAAAGAGATCATGACCATCAAGGCTACCAGAAATCTGTCTTTCAAAGAGGCCCGGGAGGTGTACAACCAGAGTCACCCGAAGACCTCGTATGCCCAGAAGGTGAGAGTCACAAACTCTACCGATGCCTCCCAGATGAGCGTAGCACAGCTCGTGCAGCTTCTCAAACGATTCGGCCTCACCGTCGTAGCCACTGGTGACTCAGCGGACAACACGGCGCCTCGTGCGCCGCCGAGCAACACAGAGCAGGCTGCTCAAGAGTCAGTGTGGGGTCCACCCAGTCCCGCTCCAGCCGCGAACGGTAATGGAGACGATTGGATCGTCGTCCAGCGCCGACAGGGTGGTCGGCGCCCCCCGGCGCAGAGTAAGGCGCCACCCACCCCGCCCCGCCCCCGACCGTCTACGGCGGTGCAGGAGGCTCTGCGGCGGGGGGAGGAGGAGAGAAGGGCACGTGAGGCGAGGAGGGCTCGCCTCGTCCAGAAGGCCCTCGAGGCTAAGGAAGCCTCGTCTGCCGACTCCGCCTCCGGGAGTGCCAATGCGGCTGTCGCCGCTGACACCCCGGAGACACCTGAGGCGGGGACTCGGCCCATCATGGGTCCCCCGCCGCCTCCTCCACCTCCGCAGCGGCGGCCACCACCGCCGCTGCCAGAGACGCCTGTGTCGAGGACACAGGCCGCCGCCTCGACATCCCCGTCGGGGCGGCAACAGCCCTCCGCGGCTCCAGGGCGCCTCGCCAAGCGGCAGACGCCCCCGAGCTGGTCACCTTCGGAGGGCGACGCCCCCCGGTCGAAAAGGCCCCAGCCGGGCCCGAGCCATGCCCGATCTGCCTCTGCTGAAGGGAGGCTTCACCGAGAGGGCTCAGGGCACCCCCGTATCCGCTACGGGGGGAGCGCCTCCTCGGAGTTAGAGGACCTAGTCTAGTCTTTCAGTCTAGTCATTTCCTCTTTTATCCTTTTATCTTTTTCGCGCTATTGCGCTTTTTTACCAGGTGCATTTCTCTCGGTGCTTTTTACCTTTTTTGTGGTCAGTCAGGTATCTGTGTGCGCCTTTGCCTCATGTTATACGCGCCCTTTTTGCGCCTTTTTAACCACGCCTTTTATTCTACAGTGGAACTGTAGAGGCCTCCGGGCCAACTACCAGGACCTACAGTCTCTTATCCGTTGGCGCACACCCCTTGTTTTAGGTCTCCAGGAGACCAAGCTAGCGCCAAACGTTACCTTTGCCATCAAGGGCTACTCTGTTTTTAGAAGAGACCTGGACACCCCTACCATTGCCCATGGAGGTGTGCTTCTGGCGGTTCACCACAGCGTACCTGCTCGCCAGGTGCCGCTGCAGACTCCTCTGCAGGCGGTGGCCGCCAGAGTTGATTTCAACCACCGGGAACTGACAGTGTGCTCTTTATACCTACCACCAGGTATAGCGCTCCCGGTGGTTGAGCTGCATCGACTTGTCGATGAGCTTCCACCTCCGGTCCTGGTAGTCGGCGATTTTAATGCCCATAGCCTGGCGTGGGGATGCGACACGACTGGCACTCGTGGTCGACTTTTAGAATCTTTTATCCGCGATGAGGCGCTGTGTATTTTAAATACAGGACAGCGCACCCATTTTACAACACCCTCCGGTCAAACATCGGCTCTGGACCTGAGCTTAGTCAGTCCGCGGCTAGCTCAGCTTTTTACCTGGTCCGTCCATGACGACCCACTCGGGAGCGACCACTTCCCAGTGTGGCTGGAGCACCAGGAGTCCCCAGTGTCAGGCAACCGTCCACCTAGGTGGAATGTTCGGAAGGCCGACTGGGGCGAATTCCAGGCCGCCGTAGAGGCCACGGTTTTATCCAGAGCCGACCCCTCTGTGATGTCTACAGAGGATTTTACATGTTTACTCATTGACTCCGCAAACGGGTGCATACCCAAGACGTCGAGTCAGCCTCGTCGTCCTCCGGTCCCGTGGTGGACCAAGGAATGCGGAGATGCGATTCGTGCCAGGAAGCGCGCTTTTAGAAAGTTTGACCGGAGTAGTACTACTGAGAACCTCATCGCTTTTAAGAAAGCGCGGGCTTTTGCCCGTCGCGTTTTAAAAGAGGCAAAGGCTGTTTCATGGCGCACGTACGTGAGTTCCTTAAACCGTTTTACTCCTACGACCCAGATATGGGCACGCATGAAGCGCATTGAAGGCCGGTTCAGCTCTGTTCCGCTTCCGGTTTTAAGAGTGAACAACACGGACATATCCCACCCTTTAGACGTCGCAGAGACGATAGGCCGTGCACTCTATCAGCGCTGCCGAGGAGAGCCGTCCTCACGACCTGCACCAGCCGCCGTGGACTTCAGCACAGCTGAAAATTTGATGTACAATGAGCCTTTCTCTATGGCTGAGCTCACGTCTGCCATCAGCTCGTTGCGCAGCGTCTCAGAAGGTCCGGATGCTGTCCACAACGACATGCTCCGTCATCTCCCAGCAGTTGCCCTCGAGGCGCTGCTAGCAACTTTCAATTCGCTTTGGGAGACTAGCACTTTCCCTGAGACCTGGCGGGAAGCCACTATCATTCCTATCTTGAAGGCTGGCAAGTCGGGACATGACCCTCTCCACTATCGGCCCATCTCTCTCACATCATCGCTTTCAAAGCTGATGGAGAAGATGGTCAATGTGCGTCTTAGCTGGTTTTTGGAACATCACGGTGTTTTTACAAACGCCCAGTGCGGCTTTAGAAAGCACCGCAGCCCTGTTGACCACATTTTAGCCCTCGACACCGAGATACGCACCTGTTTTACTGAAAAGAAGCACCTTGGAGCACTGTTCTTTGATATTGAGGCGGCCTATGATACAGTGTTACGACACAGAATACTTTCCAAAGTACACAAGTACGGCATACGCGGCCGGATGGGCCTCTTTATTAAGAACTTTTTATCGGGTCGTCGGTTCAAAGTCCGAGTTGGCAGTAGTCTTTCGAGCAGTTTTACCCAAGATAACGGAGTTCCCCAGGGCGGGGTGCTTAGTGTGGCGCTCTTTGCAGTGGCGATCAATGACATCGCTGATGATCTGCCGGTCTCGATCGGTAGATCGCTCTTCGTGGATGATTTTGCCATTTGGTTTGCCGCTTCAAGCGCTCGGCATATGGCCAGACAGCTGCAGCTTGCAGTGACGCGGTTGGAGAGATGGAGTCGAGACAACGGTCTTCGTTTTTCAACAACGAAGACCGTCGCTATGCACTTTTGCCGCCGCCGCTGCGGCGACCTTCCCTTGGGAATCCAGCTCTATGGACAGATGATTCCTACTCGTCCGGTGGCGAAGTTTCTTGGGATCTTTTTTGACAGTCGTTTAACGTATAAAGAACATTTTAGAACGCTTCGGGAACGATGTTTTAAATCCCTGAACGTTTTAAAATGTGTCGCCCGCACATCTTATGGTGCGGACCGCAGGACCCTTCTTCTTCTATATCGATCTATTGTACGATCGAAGCTAGATTACGCTTCTTTTGTCTACGATTCAGCGAGTGAATCTAGCAAGAGGGTCCTGGATACAGTCCATCATGCAGCACTCCGAGTAGCCACCGGAGCATTCCGCACCTCGCCCAGGAGCAGCATTCTTGCTGAGGCGCATGAACCGCCACTTTCACTCCGCCGTCAGATGTTGGGTATGCGGTACGCGCTGAAACTGCGCCAATTTCCTATGCACCCGACGTACCCATACGTTTTTTTACGGCATGCCACCCGATGTAACGGAAGGTTACGACCCTCGTTCGGAGTGCGCATGAAAGAACTGTTTTCAATAGCTGACATAGCATTGCGTAACGTTCGTCGTACCTGGGCTGCGCCCCCTCCACCGTGGAAAAGTGTCAGTCCACAGGTGGATCTTTCGCTGTCTGCAGTTCCAAAGGGCAAGTTGCTGCCTGCAGAGGCACGAGTCCGAGCCTTGGAACACCTTGCCTCTTACGATGGTTTTATTCCTGTATTCACAGACGGCTCTAAAACACCTGAGGGAGCGGGCTGTTCTTTCGTCGCTGGCGACGATACCCGTTCATTTTCGTTGCCATCTTTCGCCTCGGTGTTTTCATCGGAACTTGTTGCCATCGAGAAGGCTTTGTGTTTTATTGAGGTATCGGACGGACCTTTTTACTTGATTTTATCGGACTCCCTAAGCAGCCTGTTGGCCCTACGGAGTTTTAATCCAGCCGACCCGATCGTTCAAGACATTTTAGCTCGGCTTCAGTCAGTAGAACAATCGGGTAAATCTGTTCAGTTCTGCTGGATTCCCAGTCACGTTGGCGTTCATGGCAATGAGCTGGCAGACGCGGCTGCAAGGCGTGCTGCTGCAGCACCCTGCACTCGTCGGTTGCCATTGCCGGCGCGTGATTTTTACCCTGCTGTACGATCTTTTATTCTAACGGAGTGGCAGGCAGAGTGGCGCCTGCGTGGAGGCAGGAAGCTCCGAGAGGTGAAGCCGACTCTGGAGCATTGGAGGTCTTGCTCGCAAGACAACAGGTCAAACGAAGTGATTTTATGCAGGCTCCGCATCGGTCATACGTATGCGACGCATGGCCACCTTCTCCGCGGAGATGAGCAGCCCGTTTGCGGCGGGTGCGCCGTGCCTCTCACCGTCGCCCACGTGCTTTTATCTTGTCAACGCTTGGAACCGGACCGGACTCGCTACCTGGGCCGCATCGCTCCGGATATCACCGTCCGCCACTTGCTGGGTGACGAGTCACCCTGGGTTTTATCTGGCAACATCTTTTCCTTTATCCGTTCAATCAAATTCCAAGTAATCTACTCGATCTGATACCAAACCAACTAGTCCATACGTCTATTCTAATCTAGTCCTTACGCCTAGTCAGCTGTCTTTTACGATACGCTTGGAGTATTTTACCCTTCTTTGCTCTTTTTAACCAGCTTTTAGGCTTTTTTAAGCCTTTTATTACGTCGGTTTTCTTGTGACACACTTGCTTTACTTGTATATAGTTATGGGCGCAAAATGACCTTGTAGTCGGCGCGCCCTTAAGCCCCAATAAACAAACAAACAAGGAACAGAAAGCCTGCTATTATTGCATTTGTAATGATAGGAAATATTTGACAACACATTCGGAGCAGATGCTTTGCTGGCTGACGATCGCTGTTTTCATTTATTCTTCCTTCCACTGCCAGGCGGTCTGTAATATGTTTGATGTGCCGTTTGGCCGCCCTGATGACCTTGTGACGCGGTGTGCCGGGCAGCACGCGGATCTGGCAGCGGTGGTTATGCAGGAGGGCATCGCTCACGTCTGCCTGGTCACCTCCTGTATGACCATTGTGAGAGCCAAAATCGACCAGTCCATCCCCAGGAAACGTAAGGGGCACACCTCGCAGCACGAGAAGGTGAGGCGTACCGCGTGTGTGAAGTAACTGGTGGCTAAGTGTGAGTTAGTCAGGTTACTTAGGGGACCCCTTGTCGCAGCGTTGGTGTGCTTCCAATGCTGCCTGCCAGTTCGTCGTTTTACTTTTCCTGCAGGCTGCAGTGTCGATGTTCGATCATGTCGTTTTACGGTTTTAACCCTATTAGTGGCAGGCTCCTGGTTAAATGGCATGGACGTTGACATGATACATTTGATCTCAAGTTTTTGGTCGAACATTGTCATTTTACTGCATTCAACTTCATGCTACGGGAACACGCGTGCTATCATATCTCGAGGTAAAATGCCAGCTCCTCATATCTCGTTATCCCCGGTGGCGAGTTTGGTGGCGCTGGTATCAGCGGCCAATGCATGAAGTGTGCCTTACCATTCTCGACACCAGGTGTCGCCTATGGTGGTGATTAGTGCACGGTGTGCGGGAGGCTGGTGGCTGATGCTACTAAGCATTGATTTGATATGATATTCCTTTGCTAACGATGTCTATTAAACCATGTAAAAATGATTGTGTTTTGGCGGACGTCATTTGGGCATGCAAAAGTACTTAAAAATAATTTTGATGAAAGCGTTGTTTTCGTCGCAGAGGCGTAATTAAATTGATTGTTTATAGCTAGGTCGGATCTACATCAATGACCACGCTGTCTGGCGTTCGATCCCCAGGGCCTGCAGAGGTTTTTCGAGACGGTGATGCAGGCGGTGCTGCGTCACGTGCGGCTGGACGTGGTGAAGTGCGTGCTGATCGCCAGTCCCGGCTTCGTCAAGGACCAGTTCGCCGAGTACATGTGGCAGACGGCGTTCAAGACGGACAACAAACAGCTGCTGGAGAGCAAGGGCAAGTTTCTGCTGGTACACGCCTCGTCCGGCTTCAAACACTCGCTCAAAGGTCAGTCATATAGCGGGGTCGGTGTGCAACATCTGTTGATGGGTGGGCATCTGGTGCCGTCATAGAGCGATTTTTATCCGTATTGTGCCTGAACGGTGTACAGAACCAGGATATGTACGAAGGATGAGTGCTTTATCAATATTTCCGACCCAATCCAGCCTCTGGGATCGCTATTTCTTAAATGGTAAAATTCCGCGATTTATATGTGAAGTACTCTAAATCTAACTTACTATTCCAACAAAATCCGTCTGTGAGTTTGTGTGTCCGCACATCGTGTAGTGGGTTCAATTGACCTCGCCCACAGGGCAGACGGTATGTCGTAGGAAGTTGAAATTTGCACACCTTCTAGGTGACAGAGCGGGTCAACGCCTTTTCTAGGTTCCGACTCGCTGGGGTACACGGTTCGCGCGTGGGGCGCGCCGGAAGAACGCCAATGAAATTTTGATCGGTTCGTAGATCTTCATTGAGAGCCGGGGTCGACAAACTTTGTGGACTAAATGCATGCCGATCGTTGGCGGGTGCCTCGCATTGGCGGATCGGCAAGTTATTAATTTGAATGAAAAGTGGCGAAAAAATGTGTTGATTTTCGTTCGATGGAAACAGTTTGTGATACGAGTATACAAATGCACCGAGTTTGCCGCAATGCGTCACTTTGATGACAAGGCGCCATTTTTGCCGCAACTCGCGCAGTTTTGTCAAATATGGTCCGATGTGGGTGCAATTTGGTGCATAGATGCATGCTCAATCACCGGATGAAAATGCGCCGCGTTTGTCGCAATGCACCACGGTTGTAACAAAGCACCATTTCCGACAAATACGATTAGGGGTTATGTAATAGCAAGAATTGGAGCAGGGCTAGAAGCACTTTTAAAGTCTGATTGGACTTATTGTAGTCCAATTATTCCGTCACCTGACATGACCCAGTCATAGGTAGTGGTAGTTACTAGTTATACGGGTATTGTATTGTATTGTATTTACGATCATGGGCGATCCACACATGGCGTGGCGATTACTGCCCAGTAATCGCCACGCAAAGATGGGTAGTGGTAGAAGGTAGGGGTAGGGGTACGGGGACCCGCAGTTGCTTCTGTACACGAACCCCAACTCTAGCCGTCTATCCTGTCCAGTAACAACCGATAGCATTGATATCGACTGCCGGTCCCTGTGCAAGAACAGCTGAGGTTTTCTGTGCGTGCCCTCTGACAGCTTATCGTTGTTCCCTGTGAGGGTGCTGGGACAATTTACGCAGGGTCGCTGTACAGTAGCAACTGCTGGTCCCCGTACGTGTAGTGGTAGTGGTAGTGGTAGTGGTAGTGGTAGTGGTAGTGGTAGTGGTAGTGGTAGGCGTAGTGGTAGTGGTAGGCGTAGTGGTAGTGGTAGGCGTAGTGGTAGTGGTAGGGGTAGGGGTAGTAGTAGGGGTAGGGGTAGTAGAGGGGTAGGGGTAGTAGTAGGGGTAGGGGTAGTAGTAGGGGTAGTGGTAGGGTTAGGAGTATGGGTAATAGTATTGGTAGGGGTAGGGGTAGTGGTAGTGGTAGATGTAGTGGTAGGGGTAGGGGTAGGGGTAGTAGTAGGGGTAGTGGTAGGAGTAGTGGTAGGGGTAGTGGTAGAGGTAGGGGTAGTGGTAGGGGTAGGGGTAGTGGTAGGGGTAGTGGTGGAGGCAAAAGTAGACCAGTGGCCCGGGCTGATCCCATCGGACGAGAGGTGACCTATGTGAACTGGCCTGACCCAAAGTGACCGGGACTGACCCCTTTGGCCCGTCTTGACCCCGTATCAGCCAAATTTCATCCAACAAAGGCCTCAGAACAGTTCTTTTTTAAATTCTCTTCACATTTCCGTCCATATCTATGCTTCTAGCCAACACATCGATTTGAAACGCACACCATTCGAAAGCAAATTGGCTGGTGCCGCAATTTTTTCCTACCACGCAGCAAAGCAAGTGGCGCAGCCGCTTGTCTAACTTACTATTTGAGATCGTCTGTTTGTCTGTCTTTCTGTCTGTCCGCACTTGGTCTCCCCAATATATTGCAGTGCGCAGTTTTGGTGAAATTTTCGCTGACATGGGGTCAGTTATCGGCGCGTGGAGGTCAAACGGTTGCGAGGAGGTGGCTGAAACTTGCGCACCGCGTAGACGACGCTTCGGGCGTGTGCCTTTGCTGGGTCTGCAGTCGGTGGGGTGCACGGTTTGCGCGTGGCGGGCGCCGGAAGAACGCCAATGAAATTTTGATCGGTTCGTAGATCTTCATTGAGAGCCGGGGTCGACAAACTTTGTGGCCTAAATGCATGCCGATCGGCGGCGAGTGCCTCGCATTGGCGGATCGGCAAGTTATTAATTTGAATGAAAAGTGGCGAAAAAAATGTGTTGATTTTCGTTGAATGGCAACAGTTTGTGATAGGATTTTACAAATGCACCGCGTTTGCCGCAATGCGTCACATTGGTCACAGGGCGTCATTTTTGCCGCAAAGCGCACAGTTTTGTCAAACATGGTCCGATATGGGTGCAATTTGGTGCCAAGATGCATGCTCAATCGCCGGGCGAAAATGCGCCGCGTTTGTCGCAATGCGCCACATATGCCACAAAGCGCCATTTCCGACAAATACGATTAAGCGTAATGGAATGGCACGAATAGGGGCAGGGCTGGGAACACTTTATGTCTGATATTTTAGTACTGATTGGATCCAATTATTCTGTGACCTGACATGACCCGGCGGTGTTGGTAGGGGTAGGGGTAGTAGTAGGGGTAGTGGTAGGGGTAGGGTAGGGGTAGGGGTAGTGGTAGGAGTAGTAGTAGGGGTAGTGGTAGGGGTAGTAGTAGTGGTAGGGGTAGTAGTAGGGGTAGTAGTAGGGGTAGTGGTAGGGGTAGTAGTAGGGGTAGTGGTAGGGGTAGCAGTAGTGGTAGTGGTAGGGGTAGATGTAGTGGTAGGGGTAGTGGTAGGGGTAGTGGTAGGGGTAGTGGTAGTGGTAGGGGTAGTGGTAGGGGTAGTGGTAGGGTAGGGGTAGTGGTAGGGGTAGGGGTAGTGGTGGTCGGTGGAGACAAAAGCAGAATAGTGGCCCGGGCTGATCCCAGCGGACGAGAGGTGACCTATGTGACCTGGCCTGACCCAAAGTGACCGGGGCTGACCCCTTTGACCCGTCTTGACCCCGTATCACCCAAATTTCATCCAACAACGCCCTCAGAACAGTTCTTTTTTAAATTCTCTTCACATTTCCGTTCATATCTATGCTTCTAGACGACACATCGACATGAATCAAACACCATTCGAAAGCAAATTGGCTGGTGCCGCAATTTTTCCTACCACGCAGCAAAGCAAGTGGCGCAGCCGCTTGTCTATATTACTATTTGTGGTGACGTAGTTTCTGTCTATTACGAAGGTCGCGACATGGTGCTACGTAGCGCGGGTTACAGGTCACACCGTTGCACCTACCGCGCTGAAGTTTGCGCAACTCATAGAACAAGGATGGACAACGTGCCTTTGATGGGTCTCAGCTCGATCGGATCGATAGCGAAGCGAGCGCGTGGCGCGTGCCCAAAAAGTGCAAATTCGCGTCATAGACTTTACATGTATTAATCGGCTGGCAAAAACGGGCGAAAACAGCCAAATTTGCCCGACACGGGTCCGGTCCCGGTGCAATATCTCGGTAACCGTGGGCCCGACCGGTACGGGGAAAACAGCATCATGTAGAGAATCGAACGGGCTATCGAATGGTGTGCGGTGCAGGGGTTGGCACGCGCCACGTGCACCGGGGAGGACACTTTGTTTTGAAAAATGGACGTTTTGGACGGATTTTGGAATTTATATTAAGTTCAGGTGATCGTCAGACGGAATGAGTTGAAACAGCGCCTATTAGCAATAGAAATGTACCGTCTCTCATGGAAAAATTGTGAAAAGCTTATTGATCAAAAACAATGTGGAAAAAATCGCTGAATTAAGTGGTATTTGTCCAAAATGTGCCACTAAATAATTACACGGATTTTGCTGCTTTACCTGATACGTTTGACAATTGAAAATGCTATCATTGGAAAGAGCATTCAATTCTCTCCAAGATCCAATCATCACGTTTGCATGACAAGCAACAGTATTCTTAAAAATATAAATGTTTCAAACCTCTGCAAAACGATTTTTAGTGAAAATTATCTACGCCTTTAATTTGTCATAAAACTACGCGCCTAAATTATAAAGCACATTTGACAGATTCTGAAGTGGAAAGCATGCTAATCAGACACGGGCACCTCGATGCGGTGGATATTTTTCCCAAACCAAAACGTTTAGCCGTCAAAAAGCAATCGACCGAAATGGATAGGTAACCCAACCGACACAAGAACAACCAAACACCCGTCAATAGAAAATACCCCTTTCGCGTTGCGGAGCACGCGGGTCACCCTAGTTTTGCACTCTTTGGTAATATTTCTGCATATATGTTGTATAGAATGTCATTGCTTTGCAGTTTTATGCTATTGACCAGGGTTGTGCTTGACTCATGAGTCGAGTCAGAAATTTGACTCAACTCTGACTCAAATGAGTCAGATTTGAGTCAAGTCGGATAAAATGTTGAGCTGTTGAGTTGAGTCAGAGTTGAGTCGGACAAAAACATTAAGGTGTTGAGTTGAGTCAGAGTTGAGTCAGTAAAATAACTTTTGACATTGAGTTGAGTCAAAAGCATTTAGGAACATGAGTCAGCTGACTCAGCTTTCTAGAAACAATATATAGCATAAGTTTTTCATCCTCCCCCCGCTTAATAACTTAGGCCTGGCCCTGCTGCCAGATTTTTTCACCCCCCCCCCCCCCCGCTCAACAACTTTTTTATCTGAGTCAATTTTGAGTCAACACATTTGACTCAACAAAAAATTTGAGTCAAGTTTGAGTCACCTCATATTTTCATTGAGCCGCTTGAGTCATGAGTCGAGTCAAGGGAAAAAAAATCAGCTCCTTGTTTGAGTCAGAGTTGAGTCAGGTCATTCTGAAGTTGAATGATGAGTCGAGTCGGCAAATTTTTTTGAGTCGAGCACAACCCTGCTATTGACCGGATTTTTTTTTAATAGCGCTGTACAGACATAGCATTGCTAACACGCCAATGCCAGTCACATCTGAAACGATTGCTCAAACATACGGCTTACCGTCTTTCCATTTTTTCTCTTTTGGTTAGATTCAGAATCCTTTCAAATTGCAATATCTGGTAGTCACATTCCGACGAGCTGTATGATATGGGATCTAACAGGTTCCATCATGAGGTGGCTCCTAATGGACGACGTCGTCACTGAAACGGCCTAATGCATGGCAAACATTCTGACCCATGCATTTCGCAGTCTTATCGCGCGGTCTATACCGTGTCGGGAGTGAATTAAAAAGGAGTTACAGCTTTGTACTCATGCGGTAGTGGTGTTACTTATTCATCCTCGCCGTGTATTTTCTGAGGACTTTTGCGGATTGCTAGGGTGATCCACTTCATTATGTGTTATATTCATTAATAAGACGCTGCACAGCGATTTCGGGGTCTATCTGACATCATGGCGTGATTAATTCCCGTCTTCACCGTTGAATTGTCTGTACCGGGAAACGTCCGGCACTGTGTGAAGACAGACTCACTAAACTGACAGTGCGGTTTGAGTTGAGCGAAGTTGAAAATTAACCGATCGTAACGCCGGAGTTTGTACATGTATAGAAAGGGGAGGACTGGTGGTGTATAGTGTTGGCGTAGATGGCTTTGAGAGGGTGGGTGCCGTGACGATCTCTGCTCTCTTCCCTCGCTTCTGCCTTTAAGTTAAGTTTAATTGATAATCTGTAGCTGAAGATGTTCGTGATTTGTTGTGTTAAGTTTCACCACGCCACGCCTAATACTCATGCCGGGACTGTTACTAAACGATTTAATGAGTAAAAATATCTGCATAAGAACCAGCTGAAGTTATACAAACGTCCAAGAGATAGAATTGTGATATTGCGACGAGGTGGTGAGCACTGTCGTCTGTTTTTCGTTTAGAACAGTCTCTGATCTGCGTACCAGGGTGGTCTCAAAGCCAGGGCTGTACCGTAATTATTTTAATGCTATGCTAATGTGATAGCGGAGCCGAGTGAAACTTTACGTTTGCGTCATCCTGGTATTCCCTGTATTGTTAGAGTAAAATGCTCCACTTCATATTTTGATTCTCCAAAGTTTGCAGATACGCTGATGCAAGATTTCCGGGAACTCAGATTTGTTATTTTCCCCCCATAGAAAACACAATTCTGACAGCTTTGTTTTTTTTTTTAAAGAAAAACGCAATTTTAGCGAAGAGTGTTTTTAACTATTGAACACAAACCTTCAGTTATTATTGTCCCGATCTGGTGGACTTCGCTGTTTAGAATGATCTTGCAGCTTTTTTAGTGGCATACTTTAGTGCTGTATGTCAGAAAGCCTGATATGGTACTAAATAATGGCTACATCAATATGACTAGCCTCAATGGCGTGTGGTATGGGTTGGTCCGGACATCATTATTTGGCGCTCACTGGGGACCAATATTGGCTGGCAGCCCCCCTAGTGTAGCACACGTTTACCAGTAATTGCTGGCATTATCGCCTCACCACTGTTTCACTTCTACTAGCGATGTTGTTGTGTGATGCTATATTATATATATATTATATTATATGCAAGGCTATAATATATATAGCCTTGCATATAATATATATAATATATATATATATTATATTATATATTATATTATATGCAAGGCTCATGATGACAGCCGGCTATGGACATTGGCCCATAGCGGATGATTATAGGTCACTCGGGTAAATACATGCGTCCAATGCCCATTGCGCCTCATATACTTATCTTTTCGACTACAGCAAATTGAGCTGTTGCTCGCTGTCTGTCATTATGTAATACAACATCATGCAATGTGGTGTACAGTTTGCCGATGACCCATTAGCAATACTCACAACACCCTGAAGCCTAACCACCGAAGTCCACTCGCCGAAGTCCCTCACGTCTGTGTGAAATTTTCTTTGAGCGTGCTCTGCCCTGTTCCCTGGGTCGCCGGATACCTAGCCTACTCATTCCGCGTGGTCCGTCCCCCGCCCGGCGCCGTATGGGCCGCGCCCCTGCCGGCCTGACCCATTCAGTCGGCTAAGTGGGCGCCGGCTCTGACGCCACTGGACACGTGGGAGTCGCCGGCTGGCGACACGCCGCACCAAGTGGCCTCTTTTGGCGCAGCTGAGACGAACGTCGTCACGTCCGCCTCAATGGGGAGTCATTTCATCCCAGCCTTTTAGAGCTTGTGACGCTTTGTGTGCTTGTCTTTCAGCGCCAGAGACGTGTAAATGTTTTTTTTTTTACATGCCGACCCCGTAGCCTATTTGGCCTTCGGCGCTCTTTTTTGTTCTTTTTCATGCATTTTATCAGCACTGAGCGAGCTTCATAATATTGTAGGATGGAAATAGTACCTAATCGTAAAAAAACAAGTTCAGCCTGAAAGTTCCAAGAAGTTTGCCCAAAATCTGGATTATATTTTCGAAAAATTGAGATATGAAGATCGTGTTTGTGAGCTCTATGAAATGTAAAGCTTCGTTATACCTATGCAAAAGCAGGCAAATGTCTATAATAGATGAGCAGCGTAGTGCAACAACGCATTGTTAAACAAATTGCAAACTGCTTTAGTGGCCAATGAAATGATGGTGCAAAATGATGTGGCAACATTTCCATCTGTTGCTAATGAATACAGAATCATCCTGTAGTTTAACGAGCTGCTTTTGACGCTCATTGAAGGAAGTTATTTTTTTACTGCGTTATTAATTTTGATAAGGAAAGTTGTTTATGTTTGCATAGAATTCCGTTCAAATACATCGTCCAAGGCGTTACCGTGGCTTACCGAAACGCAATGCATTTTCTGGTGAACCACCATTCAATTTGAAATTGTGTGGCCAATGGCATTTGCGCTTAATCTGCAATACAGCAGCGTCAATTTAATACCTAATTACAGGGGAGAACATGATAGGTCTACAGCAGCGTAGTGTAGGCTAAACACTTCCGAGTTTTACGATGTTGCAAAAACATGCATCGTCGCCTGATGCGTTGTCAAGTTTTCGATGGTCGCGCGTCCCTGGTATGTTGACTGTGCCACAGCCACGTTCAGTCCTCTAGCAGGCGTGGGCAGACTTCTGCCTCTCTGGCCACTGGGCAGTCACTTGTTGACGGGCGGGACCGGCGGCCGTGTGCGGTGTTTTTTGCAGCGTATGTGCCTCGCCATCGGCCCGGTAACGGTAATTGGACACCGATGACACCCCGTACTTGTTTGTCAGACGGTAGGCGCTTGGTGTTTGGCAGGTGGTGGTAGGTTCCCTGGCGTATCGTAACTGAAGGCCGACAATGAGTATTGACTGAAGGTGGCTAGCGCTGTAAAGCGGTTATGTGATCGCGAACTGACCTGACCGGACCGGACCGGACCTGACCTGACCTGACCGGACCTGACCTGCCCCGCCCCCAGAGGTGCTACAGGACCCGGCCGTCACCGCGCGGCTCTCCGACACTAAGGCAGCTGACCTGACCGGACCGGACCGTACCTGACCGGACCTGACCCGACCTTACCTGTCCACAGAGGTGCTCCAGGACCCGGCCGTCACCGCGCGGCTCTCCGACACTAAGGCAGCCGGCGAGGTGAAGGCTCTGGAGCAGTTCTACCGCACGCTTCAGGACGACCCGGCCAAGGCCTACTACGGCTACAAGCACGTACAAATGGCTAACGAGGCGCAGGCCATCGAGACGCTGCTCTGCTCCGACAAACTGTTCAGGTGGGTGCGGCGGCGAGATGGGACTGCCGGCTCGGGCGTGTGCTGTCTGTCTGTCCTTGTGTGAGGGGATCGTTTGTCCGTGTCTGTCCGTCTTAACTGCTTCGTTCGTTTGTAACCTGGCCTGTCTGTCTGTGTTAGTCTTTCTATTATCCCGTGCCCCGTTGGGGTCTGCCGAGCAACGCGCCCTGCTGGGGGGCAATTTGCCCCCCCCCCTAAGATCTCGAGAACCACGCAACATAGCGACAAGCGGCCAACAGCGTTGGATAGCGCCAACAGGGAACTACCTTGTGACCCAATTTCATTGACCTAGGTCAAACCGATGGCGTCACAGGTCAGGTCAAATGTCGAATTTTCACCGTTTACAGGCATTTCAAGAAATGCGTTGTAAAATCGAGTAAAATGCATTTCATTGAAAATCATCGATGGGGCATTGTTCGTCAAACACATATTTTGCTGTTTTAGGTCACTGATACCAGGTCAGGTCACAGGTCAGGTCACTGAGGGTCACAATATGAAAATATCATGTGATACATGTTTTATGGTCCATTTTATGTCAAATGCGATTATGTGGGTCAGGTAGTTTTTGGGGTCAGTTTAGATTATGTTCTGGTGAAGGTCAAGGTCAGGTCAAATGAGGTCAAATTTCAAAGCTGATATTTTTGCATAAAATGGCTATCGATTCGATGCAGCTCTTCACGGGGAGTTCAATGGTGGTCTTTGTTTTGCGCTACGTGCTCTAGAATTGCCAAAAATTGAGTTCAAAAATTTGACGTCACCAATTTTGAACAGTTTTTTTTTTTTCGCTATAACTTGGCCAAAAAAAAGAGGTATCGATCTAAAATTGGTATGTGGATAGAAGAGCGCAGGGACTATCACATATGTTCCGGTTTTTACGAAATTCAAAAAACTTTTGGGATTTGTTTGCGTTTTTTTTCTAAAAAAATCAATATTTTGAATTTTCAGGGGTCAAAATCCAAAAAAATTTGAAAATCCGAGATAGCTGTTTTGTAGCGCCGTCTTTCTTCTACATGACCATATAAAGAACGTTGAAATTGCTAAGTAACTGTAGCTTTGGTGAGCGTTTCAAGATTTCATGTTTTTTGCTCATTTTTGCTCGAACATGACCTCAGTTTGACCTCAATAACTCCTGACCTAAGGTGACCTAAGACTTGAAATTGTGTGTGGAGGTGTCAAATTGATGCCCGGTAAGGTAATGAAAATTTGGCGGCGCGCAGCGCCGCCGTTTTCTTACTATTCAGGAAAAACCACAGGGGGAAAGTGCCTCCCCCCCCCCCCAGCGGGGCGAGGGTTATGTTTTCTTCTTCTGCTGTTTCCGTCAGTCTACTGATAGCATTACGCTATGGTAGCTGAAACTAAACAGCTCACTTCCGGTGGTAGCGTTAAACCGCCCCGACTTTCCGTGGTTCCTGGGCCAGTAGGAGTAGCAATTTATCCAGCCTGAATGTTTTATTTGAGTTCCGGCCCAAACTTATCAGCGTCGGCGGAAGATGAATGTATTCATTACTGCTTGATCTAAGTGACATTTAAAGATTAGTCCGCACACTGTTATTCAGAGTAAAGCTTCATTCTTGACATATGATGGAACGGCCCAGTGAAATGTTAGCCAACAGGGCTATTTTTCCATCCCCGAGCACCATCTCTGTCTAAATATGTTTAGCTATGTTAGCTATGCATTACTGCTGGTGATTGTAGGGTTATTATGTAGCTGCGGGGCACCAACGCCCTAGCCGTTGTATTTGATGGTGAATCTAACTCATCGTATATTGACACAAATGTTAACCATCTGGGGATTTGGATTTATGTCAAATCAAAGTCTGAATTGGTACTTCGTCCATAATTTTTCCATAATTGGGTGTGTTTTTTATGAAAATTGGTTTTGCTCTAGTCTCTATCCTATAATATTATCCTTTTAATGCCACCTTTCGGCTTCCCGCTTCTGTATTGCAGCTCGAGCTGCGTCCTAAATCGCGTGCATTTAAAGTCCTATCCCGATTGCCGACTGCCGCTCTGTCAAGAAATCGATTCTTGTCGTGTCGAGTCGAGTCGAGTCGAGTTGAGTCAACTGCGACACTTGCCGTGACTCCCAAACTCCTAAGTTAGCGCCAGTGGCTATCAGCGAAGTCGAAAACTCTGCCTCTTAACAGTGTCAACTTATCCAAGTAACATGATCTTCTCGGCTAACTTTGGTCGCCACTGTTCTCAGTCGCCAGCCGCTGGCTTGTTTTTCTTCTCCCTTTCTCGAATTACTTGAAATGGCCAAAACGCCAAACTTAAATGGAACCCATTGGTGGCTGAAGGGACCCAAGCCGTTCTTTGAAGACATATATTTACGGTGAAGTGGAGCTCAATTTTCACTGAAATACTGTGTACCGAGATTGCTTTGTGTTTCTTGTTTTGTTCGAAAGTTATCGCTACTTCAGTTTACCTTTCAGCTACCGTAGACTCATGTCGAAAGTAAATGCGTGCTGTGCTACCAACGGATTACAATAAAAAATCACATGCGAAATCTATTTTTAATGCTGATTTATTTTCTCATTTATCCGTGGTAATTGTCACAGGTTTTACCTGCAGTGTTTATTTACTTTAAAGTTTATGTTTCTTAGTGATAGAAGAGCTGGCCGGTGATGTAAACACTATTGATAGGACTGATCTCAGTCTCAGTTACGACCAAAGTCTGACAAAACATATCACCACTTGGCCGTGCGAGTGGACTTTGCCTTCGCTCTGACCATCGATCGTTGCATCAAGGATGCCACACGCTCTGAAACTCGTTCCACCGGGTCAGCGTAGCGTGTTACGTGTCGGTCAGGGGACCTGTTGAAGTCGGGAACTGACACTGTCTACCTGTCTTCCTGTCCCGTCAGTCCATTTGGACGGCAGTTCTGAGGAGACCCAATTTATGAGATACTATAGCGCTCGTACGTTGTTCAGGCCTATAGTCACATTTTACGAGCATCATGATTGGATGGTAAGCTCGACTGCACTGGTGAAATACGACCGTGTAAATGTCGTATCGCTACCATACAGGCCGTGCTCTAACTCGAGGAATAACGTTCAGCGCCTGGTCTTGAACGTAATAACGCGAAACGCTGAAGCTCATGATGTGTCAAAGTCTGACATCGATGCCGGAACATTCATGCCCCTATAGTGAGGCGCGAGGCGAACGATGTAAGGTTGTTAACAGTAAGCTTTATGCATCACCAAGGCCCTCAGTCGTGAAGGGGTTGAAATATAGTGCCGTACAAATGGAACCCTTCTAGTTTGGTCGATTGCCGTCCTGCAGTGCTGTGCACTATACAGTATACACTATACAGCATATATCACATTGTGCTTCTAACGTCTTTGCTGGGTGATATAGTGCCTTAGCGAAGTTTAACCATCAATAATAGGCATGCTAACGGCAAGCTCAATGCCCGGTCTTAAACTCAATGCCCCACCTTCATAGCATCGTATTCATTCACCTTTACCGCAGTTTTGTTATGATAATATTCCTCAGGACTTTCCATTGAGGCGGCTGTGAATGCCACATGCAAAACACGTGCGGTGAAAGACGCGGGCTCTGAAACTTTGCGTGGTACCCATGTTTCGATCCTAAGACTAGGTTTTCTTGGGTGCCTGCTTCATGAATTGCAAATGGATTTACTGATCCTGCACGGAACTGCCATACAGTGACGACGCAAACAGGGATGAAGAGGATCGCAATAAGATGTCAACATTTCGGACACCATTTGTTCACATAACATATTTTTTCGTCTCTCGACTTACATCGTATTGTATCAATAGATCCATTTGTTTTCGCCTTCCTTGTCATGGCCGCAAAATGACCCCAGTAATCGGCGCGCCCTAACGCTCCAATAAACAAACAAACGGCTTCCTTGTGGTGAGTATCCATTTCCGTGTGTAGCTGTTATCTTTCCCGCTTTTGTAATCATCCTTCTGTGAGCGTTGTGGACAGCAATTACCATCGGCAATGAACCTAGGTCCGCCCCCCCCCCCCCCCGAGACCCGGGGAGACGACCGTCGGCTGAGGAATTGGGAGTGATGACTTCTGATCGCCCATCTCATCAGTGTGCTTGTGTGTCGTGGACTCGTGGCCCTCGTCCGTTCTCCGTCACGAGCTGGGGGACCGCGCTGTATGGATCTGCGCGTGAAATGTGGCCTGGAGCGCTGGAGCGGATGCTTCTGCTATTGTGGAGAAGAATGTCTCTGACATTGTCATTGAGCGTTGACTGACAGCAATATTTGAAAGAAAATGCAATGACAATTAGATAAAGCCGTAATTATAAATCAGAATGATAAGCAATAAAAATGTGCACCAGTGCTTGAGAGTGCCGACTTTTGTTAGATACAACTTAGCTTCAATAAGATATTTGCTGAATTAGCTGTTTGGACGTTGTGCTCATAAGTAATCGTGGGCAGTGCTGTCAGTCCACGTTTTTCAAACTACTCTAACGACAGCCCACGCCGTGCCCTTTGATTCCCTCGCCAAAGCTGCCTACCTCCGAGAGTGTCGCGCTATGTTGTCAGCACGGTCAGCGTTTTATTTTCGTCACAGTCCCGCAGCATCCTGCAGGCTCGTTAGGCTTAGTCTCTCTCATTCAATCTCGGTTGGTGTGGCGCGTTGGTGTGGCGTCATATGGGCGTGGGCAGACTCTGGGTGATGGGTACGGGGTGAATCATCGCCTATGGGTGTATGTATGTATGTATGTATTGACACCAAAAGCCTTCCACATATGGCGTGGCGATTACGGCTTGGGTGGGGGGTGGGGGGAGTTCAGCGGGTCTAGCGGGTCATGGGATTTACGGACTGTGGATGGTGAAGAGGAAGACACGACGGGTCTGTCGTGGCTTGGGTGACCGCCAATTGCCGGCGTTGGTAGTGGCTGCTACTGCTTGCCAATGTCACCGCCACCCGCTTGCACTGCCGCCGAGGCCTCTCCACCGCTCCACCCCTCCCGCCGCCGAGCCCCCCCCCCCCCCCCCGCCGCCTGACCGCGGTCCCGACGTCCATACCTATTGTGACGGCGGTAGTGGTCAGCGTGCGTAGTACACAGATCGTTATGTGTGCCTCTGTTGTGCTGGAGTGGCCGGGCGCTCTATTCAGACTGCGGTCCTGGGTGGGCGCGAGGCCGGTGTGGTAGGCGGATCGATCAAGCATCACTCGATCAGCTCCGCGGTCCAATTGCCGTAAACCACAAATTGTCATCATCGTCATCAAGAAGCTGCACCCTTTGAAAATCAATTCGAAGGAAGACACACATTTGGCAGGATGAATACCAAATACCGGTATTTCGGAAAGTTCAGAGCTTGGCACAACTGCGGTAACGAGGTCATAATGCACATTTGCTCTGACTCAGTCATGAAAAATCCCACTTTTAGGTAATGGTGCGCTTCCGCTAGGAATATTTTGACATCTTCGGAAAAGCATTGTCGTATTCATGCCCAACGAAATTACGATTTCAGAACAATGGCGACTGGTTACGGCGTATGCCTAGTATTACATATGATTGAATCTGGTCATCATGCAAAAGGTGTCCCTGGAGAGAAAGGACCCTGCCTGGTCGAGCGAAACAACATTCTACCGTCGTGCTGGACGGCTGGATAGAATTAGTTGTTCTAAGTTACTTATGTGTTCATAGAATCGACCCTCTAGCTACACAAATCTTGTTAATGCTTCTATACTCCACGTGGTTCTTTTCCTCTTCCTAATTATCTTTTTTTAGTTTTGATGACTTCAATTGCGACATTTTCTGTGGACAATTATCATTATTTACCATGGGTATGATGTCCAGCGAATCCTTGACAAAAGTCAGGGCTCAGTGTCTAGATCGATGACTGTCTCTGAAAAGTCCATTACGAGCTGCGTGACAGCCGCGAATGACTTAATTAATCATACCCTTACTTCACTGGCCCCGTAAGTGGTCTTGACGAACGGAAAATTACAGCCTTGTCGCCCAGGTATTATCGTTTAATAGTACGAATGTGGTTACAAATGTAGAAACGTTAACGTTACGACAGGTCCAAGGTCCATGTGTCATTGGTGTGCTGGATACGTTTGGAGCCTGAATGAGCCTATGAGCCCCCACCCTATGAGCCTGAATAAGACTTTGTGACCTGCAATTTAAGAGGTGAGCGACACCAAAGTGGAGGAGATTGAACTTTGAACCATGAACATTTATTGGGCACGGGCAGTACTTATTCGGGTATATTGATACATATAAGTTTTTCATGGAAACACATTTACTTCAGAATATCGAAACGATGTGAAACTATAATATAATCGCAACTTGGGCTTCCATTTCTCCCGCAACCGAGTTGTCTTACTCTGGCCCTTTTGCTCAGCACTGGAGCTGTCGTTGCCAGCATCTGACCTGTCCCGATCTGGCGACCCGTTACTGCAGGCTACACAGTGCACATTTTCAGTTCAATATCATCGTCCACGACCCAATTGCCCGTTCATACCTATATGTCGGCGCAGTAAAAGATGGCCATTGGCCATTGGAGTTGCAGTGTGTATGTTATCAGTGTTATCACTGTTTTCCAGTACCTTGGGCGCAAAATGACCTTGGTAGTCGACGCGCCCTAAAGCCCCAATTAGCAAACAAGTTTTCCAGTATCTGGAGTATTTTTATTGCACCTTTACTGCATGTGCTTAAGTTTTATTGTTTTATTTTTCACTGATGTCTGTATTTTCAGGTCGCTGGACCTGGCAGAAAGGAAGAAATACGTCGCGCTGGTGGACAGCGTAAAGGAGTACAACGGCGATGTCAAAATATTCTCCAGCCTCCACATTTCCGGAGAACGTGAGTAAAATCGATGGACTATAACAAGTTAACAAGCGTGTTACTTCGTCGCGATTTTCGTCCTCACCTGAGGTGCAGTGCTTGGTTTCCAATAGCTGAAACACCGTAGTGCTTTACATCGATGCTGAATGGTTAAAAGCCCATCTATGCAGGCAAAGGTAACCAAGGCATGGCTGTCGCGACTTTTTTGCGGGGGGAGCTCTGTTGGTGCTGTGACACTGCAATTTTGTGTAATTAAGAAATGAACAAACAACTTTGTTTGCAAAACATCAATGCATTTGAATGAGTCAGTATGTCATTGCTGAAATTTTATTCGATGTTGACCGTCCGTCCGCGGAACGGACATTTACCCAAATGGTCGGCTTTCAACACATTTTCCTTATAGACGCTGAATTTGTCCCCATGCACGCGAGCAACTGACCTTTACTGGGCGTTATTACGACTGCCCGCCATGTATTCACCGTGCTGCTGTGCTCTGTGTGGTGGTCCACAGCGGTGTACCCCATTCAGGCGTTTGTTCAGACTTATGAATGCGCCCGCTCCATTCGGAAACGGTCTTGTTGACCGTGTGCCCCGTGCTGTCCCCGTAATGACCTCTGCGACCTTTGAAGCGCTGCAGCGCTGTTACGCCGTGGTCCTCCTTTCACAGAGCTGGAACAGCTGACTGGTATCGCCGCCATTCTGCGGTACCCCATGCCGGAGATCGAGTCGGATGACGACCCCTCGGACGACGACAGCGACTAGTGATCTCCTGACAGGGTAGGGTACCCTTTGGACGAGAAGAGTGACCCATGCGGCAGGGTGGGTCATCCTGGACAGAGACAGGGACTAGCGACACGGCGCTAGCGCTCAGTGCCTCTGTTCTGTGGGGACCTGGGGAAGATCACCGTGAAATGGACCTCTGCCTTGTTGGTGAATGACGAAGCCGCCGGGTGATCTGACCTACCATTGGTCGCTGATCTGTATCAGAGACAGACTGTGCGGAGCTGTTCGTCCGGCGGACCGGCTGTAGGTATACCTCTACACGGTCGGAACTGTACCTTGACCATCAGTTTCGCCGTCGAGCAAGTCCGCTCAGCTCAAAGTGAGAATTTCTGAGGCCGTAGTCTCGGAAACGGCTGGGGCAGCGGCTGTGACGGCCCCGCGGTAGGACCGTGCCTATAAAGGATCGATGCTACGGTCGGTCCATGCGCTGTGTATTTCTTATCACGGCCCCCGCTACTTGCAACGTGTTTCGCGGATCGGTCGATGTTTGTTAATTTATTCAGATTGACAGCTTTACTGTCAGATTTTGTGGTACGGGCCTCCTGCTGGTGCCCGACATTGTTTCGGTTTTAAAGACGATATTTTTGTCGGTCACTACCTGACTTGCTGACAGCAGAGTTCGATGGTTCGCCGGCATATGATCGCGATTGTATTGTATCGTTCGACAGCGGCGACCATTAATCCTCGCTGCTGACAGCAGACCTTCAAATCCATCTACAGTCCCATTAGAAAATTGCAAAGCCACCACATAAGCTCAGTTGTAATCCTGACCGGACAGGTGCCTAGTGCTGAGATCTGGGGCGGGTTTTTACCCGTTCCGCCCCAGCCGCCCTCAGCCCACACTACCAGTCTGTCCCGCCGTTCGACTCATTAGACTAATGGGTGGCGACGTCGGCCGCGTTGGCTGAGCTGTCCCACTCGGTCGGGGCACGGCAGCTGTCCGCGGCCCGCCCACCTGTCTACACGCCCTTATAAACAGCCTCTCGCCGGATTAACCCCGGCACGGGCATCCATTCAGCCGTCTTCTGCCCGGCTGTGTGCCAATTTATCGGACAGACCGTGACACAGCACACGCCCGGGGTGTCAGTGTGCAGACGGGGATAACACGGCCGGATGCTGTGCTGTGTCTGGCCGCTTGAGCCTCATGGAGGCTGTAAAGCAGCCGTGTGCTGCCAAACCGGCGATACAGCGTGGTGTTCAGTCTCCTGTGGCGAAACTGTTGACTGCTCGGCTGTGCTGAGGCTGAGCGCTACGCGCAGATAATCGCTTACTGTTCAGTTATGGAGGCTGCCATATGATGCTGCCCAGCCGTAAGGCGTTCGAGCTCTGACCTTGCTCGTGCCTATTATGTTAACTGGAAACACACATAGTCACGTGCTGAAGCGTACAGAGTGTGAGGGCTTTCCGTCTCGCTGAGGGCTCTGACAGCGCATATCAGCGTACCGTGAAGCCGCTGTCATCTCGGCCCGACGCGATCGGTTCCTGCGCCTCTGTGATAAGGCTCGGAAGCAGCTTTCACCCGCCAGTCTGTTCTTAGTGACCACAGCCGCCGCCGAGACAGGCAAGGGTTTTGCTCGATCGCACCGGTCGTGTGTGTGTGCTGTGTGGTGGCAAACGTCCGTCGACAGACGCCTCAGCTCTTCTGGGTTCCGAATAGCTGAGGTGACTGCGTGTGTGCTATTTGTTCGCGCTCAGCAGGTGCAGTGTAGGATGGGGTTACACAAGGGACGTATTTAAACCATGCGGTCAAGGCTTGGGGTGGCTGAATCTAATTATTCGTCTGTTTGGACGCGAATGTTGGAATATTGGCTGTTGTATGGCCGATGCTTTGTGATTGTTTCGTTTACATGGGTATGCTTGTAATAAAACCCGCGATAGTTGCCCGTATGTTTATGGATTCATCGTTCCAGTGCTCGTTTTCTATTGGGGGTCGAGCTTCAATTGGTCTCCAGGGGTCGATGTAACAGACATGGTACTGAACCGCCCGCATGCACCGGGCACCATAACGGCTTTCGTTCGACGGAGTCCTTATCAGAAATGCGGGCCAAAAGCCTTACGAACGGTGACGGATAGTATTACAATTTACATTTTTGGGCTCCCTATCGCATTGGGGTGGCAAAATGTGCGAATGCTGTTTTGAAATAGGTATATGCACTTCACCATATTTAGCTAGCTCAATATGCGGCAAGTCGGAAAGCGACTCATTGCTCTTTTACTCCACCGGTTGTTTGATGTAGGCATTGGGACATTTCGTTCTCAATAAGCCTTACCGAACAGTTCTATGCATTTTATGAACAATATTCGCAGCAGTTTCTGACCTTGTCCATGAACTGAAACGTTTGAAACGGGTACGATTTTACTCACCAGTCATCACCCCAACCACCATTCGTACTGCATAACGTACGAGAATGGTGAGCCGTATTCGGGACGATGCCTCGCCCGGGTGAGGGGTGATTGGTACGGTTCTGCTTGAGTGGAGCTTCAATGATGAGGTGTCAAAAAAGTCGCCTACTTTGCACTGCAGTTGGACCATGACGGGCAGTTAATTGGGTACTAAATGTAAATATGTTTACGTAAGTGCCTCTGGATGCGCACGGCACTGTCGGTAGTACAGCATCGTATGGCGATAAGCGCACCAACTCTGTAGTATGTGCCACTGAGCTGGCGTCGACGGACCGTGACCGATTTCCCGGTGTATCTGCGACCGACGGACGGTGACTGATGTCTCGGTGTATCCGCGACCGACGCACGGTGACCGATGTGCTGTCTGGGCCATACGATACGGCCTGAGCCGTGCCGTCATCACTATGGGCAATACTGAGCGGCCCGGCTGCGTATCAGGACAGCCACAATGCGCGGCCGGTCGGCAGCGATCCGCGTAGGAATGGCTGCGATCACCAGAGCCCATGCGTCATTTTCCACTCACCGGCACACACAGGGCGCGGACACAAATTGCCTGGTCTGCATCAACGTGGAAAATCCATTTGTCAGCCAAGCATATTATCCACAGAATGATGCGTATTTGATAATCCAACTAGCCATCGACCAGGATCAACTGGACAATAGGTGACAAGCCATCATAACGAAACCTGCATTATATATAGATCCGTATGTGCACTGTCATATTCAAATGCTCGTTGTTGACACATTATAGGCTATTACCGGTGTGGGCGTAATAGGTACCTTCCACGTTAACTTATTTGCCAGTTGCACATTAACAGCAGTATTTATCGTTCCACGTACGGAAATAAGCAGCTACGAAATGTTTGTTATTTGCATTTCATGCTCTTGTTAGATTCGTGTCTTTTCATTTTGGGTCTATCGTTGCCAATGGCCCTCTCTTGCTAGCCGATGTTGCCCATTATCGTCCATCACAACAATAAAGTAATGTCCATTGGGTATACATAAGTCTGGTATTATGACAACAAGCACAACAAATAGGCACCAACATTCACGTGACCTTTCTGTCGACAACACAGGGGGGGGGGGGCTGTATAATAATATAATAAGGCTGTATAGTATTCACAAAGGGGACGCACAGTGGTGAGGCGCGTGCATACATCGGGGAATAGCTATCGCTTACATATATGCAAATCTACTTTAGCATGAGTTTGAGCTTGCTGTCGCAAATTGATCATCACAAACTTAGCTTTCACTAACACAGAGTAATTTGGATGTTTTTATGTCATTGAGTAGATGGTGACTCAACGAGTGACTTTTTCCTGCACAACAGTCGCAATAAGAAAACGGACCGAATCAACGATCGTTTTATTAGACAATATTGTCCGATTTATTAATTAGGATTAATGAATCACCGTGAACAAGGTTATGAAGCGCTGCCGTTTTATTCCAGCATAACTTCTTTCATTTCGATATAATTTAATTTATAGTTGTCATTGGTAACTGTTGTTAAAAATATTACTCGGGTTTCCCTACAAAACAGTCACAAGGTGGCAATGTTATTCTCGTAGCACAGTCCTATATCACATATGTAGTATTCCCCTTGCAGCTGCAAGACGACGACACTCTCCTGCAATTTCCTCTTTTATGTAGCCACCGCACCAGGATATTGCCAATCACTTTTCACACTAAGACACTTGCCGATTTTCACCGAAGCTCCTCAACAGTCGCCTGTTTTCCGGTCTGACCTGCCCTTATGCCTCCGCGAGGCTCATCCCCGAGTGGTCACCGATGCGCGCCAGTGTCTACTTGCCGGCGTTATTGCCCTCCAGGTCCTCAACTGATGTGTTGTCGGGGGGAGCCGGCGATGGTTGCTGCTGTACGGGTACCTGGTACAAGGCGGTACCGGGCGACGGCGACATCCCCGCCGGGTACCCCATCATCATACCTGTGCGCACATCGCAGTACATCGCTGAAACGATAAACGTAATACAAAAGGTGCTGTGAGCGTGTCTGGAGCTGAGCGCAGTCAAACCTATCCTCACAATTGCAAATGTGCAAAATTGAAGTGCATACTTTCTCTTCTCTGTTTCCTTTCTTCGCACAATAGCTTCGCCTTCGCCACAGGAAGGCTGTGCGGAATACTGGTTACATAATATTTTTTTTTGAAAACATGAAGCTGAATCATGCCCTTCTGAAACTCACCTCCTGCGGGTATCATGAATCCCTGCATTCCTGGCATCGGTGACTGCGCGACCAGCATCATTGGCGGGTTGGCAGGTGGTAGTGGCGAGTTGGCTGTGGGATGCAGAGAGACTTCAACGCGCAGCCTACCAGGCGGGACTGGCGCATAGGCTGTGCCGCAGTACACGCCGGTACTGCGGCACAGTAGCGATACAGTACAGCCGCGGTTGGTCCACGATACAGCGCGGCAGGAGACGCTCCAATGTCGGATCGCCCGCTGTTTATAATGGTGGTTTATCTTTTTATGCCTGATTGACCAAGAGTGACCTGACTTGAGGTTTGCAAGTCCTCCAATAACGTGGCGTTTAGCTTCCTATGGTACTATCTAACTGCATGCTATTCTTAGCACCTTTTAAAGTTAAGCACCGCTAGGGTACTGAAAATTGGTCTAGCAGGTGTAGGGTACTACATTTAGTACACGGGTGCTAAACAAATATGGGTACTTATATTAGCACCTTGATACTAAACTAGGTCTCAGTTAAGTACGAATAAAATGCTTAGCTTAGCACCGCTAGGGTACTGAAAATTAGTCAATTGAAAAGTACCTCTATGCTGCTAAACTTTTTTTTACAGTGTATCGACGGCGACCAAAGTTGAAAGCAAATGAAATGGATGAAATATAGGGAGATGGGAAGTGGTGAAAAACAACTCTGCAATGAATCTTTTTTTGAAGTGTACATTTTTTTTTTAGAGATTCACAGGCCTTGGAGTTACTTCAAGGATTATCTGGCACGTTTATTTTGTGCGGGTATCTCTGCAGCAGTTCAACAAACATCCAAATTTTCCTAAAGTTGTTTGATGACAGCAATGGCACTAAGCAAACTATATTTTGCAAGGCTTGAAATTGTCGAAACATTGCATTCAAATGTTTTTTTTTTTTAACTTAGTCCGAACCTTTCGAATGGAAGGATTCACAATGACAGAGCCCGCACTAAGCGAAGCTTGTTGCGGTGACCCTGTCCTCTACCCTCCGATTGCGCGATTTCGGTTCTATGGCAAAATTTGGAGTCCAAAGTTTAACGTGCGCACATAGCCGCGCACGGCCGGTCCCCACACTGACTTCGCCTGGCTACGGCCTGCCACCAGCCGCAACCCGACCTGTCAGGAGGCTCGTAAACGTCAAGCGCCCGTCGCGCTTCGAACCCGGACTGTTATAACCGGGAACGCGTGCTCTCACCACGCGGAGTCCAACGCTCTACCGACTGAGCTACGGGACCGGCTCAAAGGGAAAAGGGAAAGGGAATTCAACAAAGGGAAGCAAGAGGCAAGAGACATCTTAACTGAATGTGTCGCTTCTTTGTTGTATCAGTAGCAGCGCTTGTTTACAGACACATCTCTGCTCAGTGGCCGTTCGTGGCAGTGACACTGGTGTGAGCCTGACCTGGTTTGGGAGGCGGCGGCGGCTTGGGCTTGGGCTGCACGGAGGGCTCTCTCCTGTTTTGTTTCCAACAGTACCATCCGATGACGGCCAGGCCTCCGGCGACCACGGAGCACCCCAACACGATCGCGACTACCGCTGAAAACAACACGGAACACTGACTAACTGGACCATCGAGCACCCCAGCGGCCAGCACGATCACAACTACCGCTGAAAAGAAAAACATACGGCCACTTACTAACCCGACCACCGCACACCCCAGCACGATCACGGAGCACCCAAGTACGATCGCAACCACCACTGAAAAAGCACGGCACACTTATGTACGGCGTACAACGGCGGATACACTAACCCGTTACGTCAGACTTTGGCCCAGACGGAGCACCTAGACATTCCTTGCGTGCTTTCTATTAATACCGATGAATCGAAGAGTGAATAGACATCACTATGGCACATTTCGTATGTAGTTCGGTTCCCGGGTGCTCTGATTTCTACCAGGATGACGCCTTTTGGTTCGACAGACGCACGAGCGAGCGTAATTTTGAGCACGGGTTCGCTTACGGCAAGCGGGTAAACGGGGCAATTACGAGAAACGCACTGTGACTTATCCGCACATATCAAAAGTAGTCGAATCTTCAGTTGAAGAGAGGGAGCTATCTGATGCAGCAAACTGCTTGTCATTCGGTTGAGCGGTAGCCGAGATATAAGGTATTAAAAAAGCATCACGGGGCGAGACGATTATGCTGAAATTTTGCTCACCCTCTGTATTATCACGTTCGCTTGCTGCGTTCGTTCGCATGTTATTATGACCATTAGAGTTACATTCATCAGGGCATACAGGCTATTATTGATGTGTCTATGGACGATGAATCAAGTTTACGTCTAATACACAACAGCAGACTATTTAAATTACGAGTATAGCATAAGAGTAGTAAAATCATCCACATTAACTGAAGATAGAAAGGCTCATTTTTTAAAGACGCTTTGCGTGACGCAACTCTGCTAAAATGTAAACTAGCTCTATTCAACTGGTCTGCGTTCAGACAGACGCTATTTGATCCCCAATTGCTATCAGAATTTGACTGCTTTGGCGAGAAGCGCATTGTTTAGCTCTTCACGGCTACTTTTGGCAATCCAGGATAGTGCAAATCGTAGTCATACAATACATAAAGAATTTGCCTAAATTTTGTGAGCGAGTGGCCACAAGGTTAAACACTATCACCAGAAGAAGCTTAGCGAGGATAGCCGATATCCACGCAGTGGAACCGGTTCGTAGCGCTACAGGTGGTGAGTCTGACTGACGTGACCGCCGTCCCGCGCGTTCACCCATTTCCGAGCGAATTTCCTTTTGTATACGACCTACCGGCCGGCACGCCATTGTGTCATGCAATGGTTCTCATCATGAATGTGCGTCTTCCAGTGAAAATGACAAGGACAAGTAGCTACTAAATGCCGATGCTACCGTGTCTCCCAGTGGGGCTTTCCGGTTCCAAATTTTGAGCTGACAGCTGCTGATGCTATGACTGTCACCGTGGAGTGTCCAGGGATCCAGATATCCTGTCATTCCTCTATCACTCAGAGGAGTGAACCAGGCCATTCCTCCATCAACCAGAGGAATAGCCCAGGCTACTCTTCACTCACTCATGTTGTCCAGGCCATTCCTAACTCATTCAGCGCGGTGACCCAGGTCACTCCCCACTCACTCAGCACCCCTGTCGTGTCGCTCGCCGCCTCTGCCAAGTGGGGCAGACAGGAGAGGGCGACGAGCACCAGTGGCACAGGCGGCGGGGTAGCGGTGGCCATCCCGGCCCGGCCCAGGTCACCGGTCACAGGGGGTCCTGTCCGTCCACTGCAGCGACCTCAGCAGCAGCGGCCCTCAGACGGTGCCGCTCCTCCACCGGCGCCTTGGTTACGGTGTCAACAGACAGGTAACCAAACAGCACGTCTGTGCAGCAGCCGATAGTTCGACCACGCCGCCGCAGCCCTGACGAGCTGCTTGTCGTGGCGATGCATTCACTCCGTAGGTGTGAGCTCCACTGAATGGCCGTAGTCGGTCGCAGATCGAGCAGAAAAGAATGCACGCTAATGTGGCGTACACTCGTGAAGCGGCGTGAAAAAGCTAGGAACTCATACTTACGTTTGCACGTGCGAGCTGGTGGGTCAATCGCCACTTAAAAGTAATATGGTGACAAGAAATTACCTCAATTTGAGGAAGTTGCAATAGAACTGGTAGAATTATGTTCCAGCTTCTACGTTATCAGGTTGCTAGCATTTTGCAGTCGCAAGGTGGGTTGCACGCTGCGCTGTGTGTCAACTATTCAATTGTTTTAAAATGTATACTTCGACTGCGGTGTTTTATTCAGGCGTTCTAATATTCATGAGCCATGCACCACGGAATTCCCGTCGGCTTTCTCTGATTTGTTTATCTATTTGTAATTCTTATTTTTTCCAGAAAAGCTCCTGGTGTGGGTCTTTAAACCTTGTATGCAATAGATAGAAACGGCCCTGCATTTGCAATAAAATTGCACATTTACACATATATTTGTTCAGTACATATAATCGTAAACACACAACCATAGACACACAGGGGTCATGGTGTAAGAAATACACAGTGTCGCATTGCAGATCCATAGCATTCCTATACCTAGACAGCATTGGAGCTAAACAAAGTCCATGTCCAGTGCGCATCTTTTTGTGAACCAAGTGCAATGCATAAGATGTAGGTATTATAATGTCTTGTCTGCTGCAGTCTAGAACACAAAAAAGCTGTGCATGAAATGGTTCCGTATGGTCATCTCAGAACTGACCCGTGTGCAATTGTGCATTCAGTCTCGACTAAGTGATCAGTGACAACATTTAACGCATTCTCACGTTATCTCGCGTTATTATTGTAAAATAATAGCAAGTTCATTATTCATTATTCACACCGGTTGCAATGGTCTTCAATCAGCAGTAACGAGCTCCCGCTCCCAAACAGATCTTCGATTATATTAAGACTAGGGAAGCTGGTGATGAACATTCGAGCTCCAAACAGCACATCGGCAAAACATAACTCACGTATAACTTATTACATTACATACACCTCTCGCTGTCACGTTCATGACAAGTGCCTTCATGTACACCAAATCTCCATCCTATTTCCTCTGCGTTCTCAAACAATCTTACAGAGCGGCTCCATCGGGTCTGAGGCTCAAAATGAGTCGCGAGGTATCTTGTCCGACGACGGGCTGAAGTGCTGACTGCTGCTCACTGTTCAGAGCTCGCCTCTTGTCGGGCTTGGTAGGTATTCAGTTCCACCTTACTACCAATCGCGTGCCGCAAACGGTATCGGCGCCCGGCCGAGCCAGGAAGGTCGACTCAGATCGGCGCCGGCTGGCGAGTCGTCCGACTCTGACTCCTCAGACTCCGAGTCGCCCGAAACACTGACGGAAAGTGAGAAAAACTGGTCACACAGAGTGTGACAGAGCGTTCAAATCGGCAAGACACGGAGGCATCAAAACATGACAAAACCCAAGAAGTTCCCCGTAGTTTGACCTACATACATGGCTTTTCAAAAATAGTTGATGACCGGTACCACATAGCAGAAAATTTATGTAACACCAAATACCTCCGTCGGATTTGTCCTGTTCCCCCTGAATAAATGTAAGTATATACGTGACGAGTAAAGGTAATGTGAAGCTGCTGCTGAGCCACTAGCTAATGTCGGACTGTTCGGAAATTTACCGGATGTCTGCCTCCGACTGGGCAGCCGCCAACTAGCAACTGAATCCATCAGTGTCGGACAATTTCGGCAATGAGCAAGGTGTCAACTAATGCGGAACTGTTGGTTAACTGACCGGATATCTGCCTCCGATTGAGCGGTGGGCGACTGGCAGCTGAATCCCTCGGTGTCGGGCAGACACTGCAGTTCGCCGCAGCAGGCGGTGCTCCGCAGATCGGGGTCACACGACTCGGTCGGAGGTACGCACAGTTCCAGCGATTCCGAGTCGGGGATCGACTGAAACACACAAACAGGCATATGTTACGGGTCATATGCTAACTTGGGCAGTAAGCAGACTGCCCGGGCAGTATGCAAACTACCCAACAGCCCGGGCAGTATGCATACCGCCCGGGTAGTATGCATACTACCCGACCCCTTGGGCAGTATGCATACCGCCCAAAAGCTCGGGCAGTTTGCATACTGCCCGTTTCTCGTCTTGAAGTTGTGCATTCCATGTCCATTTTAAAAATAAAAATGGCTCTCTGAGTAACGTAGCTTAACTACGAAGCCTGTTTTGCCGTCAAACGCGATTTACCGATTGAAGGATCTTAGGATGGAATAAGAATTGGAATATAAAGACTTAAATTGCCCCCAGAATTTCATTGCTTATTAGCCAGCGGCCAGCAAGTCATTTTCATCTGAAATGAAGACAGTTCTATAGTTTCATCACTCGCTGGCTTTGGTTTGGCATATGGACCTGTAGAGGGCGTAAGTACAGTTTCAATAGCTAATGCTGCATGAAACCATTTGCATGTAAGGCGTAACAAGGTCAGGTAACTGCAGGGCAGATCAAGTGACCTTACCTCAGAACAAGTTAGAACTTGTTCGCCATAGCTACCCCGACTGAACGATCACTTTAAACCTTTCAGCGATCAATAATACAGTAAAAGTATGTATGAAATACATGCATTGGAACTTTGACGTCCAGCCGATGACCTAAGGTCAGGCCAATTTTGCACAGTCTCTTAGAAGTTCACAGGAGAAAGTTGAAAGACGCTTTTTTTGGATAAAAGTCCTTCTACACGCTCTCAAACATCGGGTTCCATGTAAATACAACATACTGAATCGGAAAAGTGTAGGTACTTATGGTGACCCTTCTTTATGACCATGAGGTCATATCAGGTCATAACAGATCTGCAGTAGTTTTTTTGACGATTTCTGTTTATGGAGACGTATACGAGCGATGGAAACAACCTAGATGTGTTTAAGTCGACGACAAGGATCGCCTGATAACCAACATGACCTTTTCTTGTCAGGTCATGACCTTGACCTTAGGTCAAATTTTAAAGTGGTCTCAAAAGCCAAATTATAGTTAACTCGACGCGTCTCGACGAGAGGAACACGATGCCGGCAAAGGTGCAATGTCGTGCCTATCTAAGGTAAACTAATTTTGCCGTAAAATAAATCGTCAAAACAGCTATTTTAAGCTTTGTTGCCCTCTGGAGGCTACACCGTTGATCTTAGGTCAACTTTGAGGGCTTATTTCAGAAAGCGTTAAAAGAACTACTGAATGCGTATTTCTGCGGTTCTTTAGCTCTATTAGCTTCCGAGCTTGTGGACCGATTTGTAAAAAAGTTAAAAAGGTGAAAATTGACCTTTGATGACCTCTGGTGACCTGATCTTTGGCCTGACCTAAAACATGACTGGAGTTTCTCCATGATTTTTTTTATGTTATTTTGAATGCCGCTTACCGCATCTTACATGCAGCTTACTCCTGTGCCGCCAAGTGGCACAGGAGTCGAGTAAGGGGTGTTCACCCCCCCCCCCAAAAAACGGCACGGCTGGCGCCGAGCGTGGCCCCGCGCGGGTTGAAGTGTCTGTCATTGACAGAGTATGCGAGCTATTGCATTAACAAGCCTCACGAGCCGCGGTCAGCATACTGCACACAGAAAAATATTAACACCGTTAGCGGTGTAATTGCACAGTACATATCTGAGCACTTGAGGAAAGTTAATTTACCCCTTCCCCGCTTAACACGCGCAGTGGAAGGGTTGCGAGTACTACGCCCAGTGGAAGGGGGGGGGCGGATGTCGCCCCCCTAAGATCTCAGCTTCCACTGGAGCTAGAAAGACGAAATTTGGAGGGTAGGTGGGGGCCATGGGGAACTCTGTTGTGTGTGAATTTCATGACCCTATGTCAATATCTTCAAGGTCAAATGAGGTCAAATGTGGTCAAATCTGCCATATTAGCGACTTTTTTGCGTTTACACGCCGATAACTCAAAAAGTTACCAGCCGATTTTCTTTTTTCTTTGAATATACGAAAGAACAAACATTTGTGAGTATGTATGGTGAATTTCTAGATAATTCAACAATAAATATGGCAGTTAGAAGCCTGCTAAGGGTAAGATATCGCCGGCTGAAGCGGGATCGGCCGACGCGGGAAACGCGGCAATCACAATTTTGTGTTTACACACTCATAACTCAACTTGTTACCGGCCGATTTTCAAAATTCTTTGACCATATGATTGCCTGTACATTTCTCAGTCTTCTCACCGAATTTGACGCGAATCTAATATAATCAGCGGTAAGGAGCGCGATGTAAAGACGGAACCGTCTCGCCCCGGCACAGTCTACAATTCAGGCGGCGCGTAACGGCTAGCGCCGGCCGCCGCGCCGCCGCGCCGCCGCAGCGGCAGGATGTTTTACTTTACACCGCTATTACTAAAAAAGTTGTGAACCGATTTTCTTATTTCTTGCACGAGAAGATCCGCAATTCAATTCTGGACAGGTAGCCGAAATTTCACATTAATATTGTGTTTGCGGCGCGAGTTATTGGCGAAAAACAGGAGGGGTGGGCGAAATCCGCCCCCCTCCCTTCCACTGCGCGTGTTAAATTACTCGCGCTTCTAAATGAACACCAGGAAGAAGGTAATAGAACACTGTTAGGAGGGTTGGGTGTTTTGCTACATGTAGTAAAACACCCAACCCTCCTAACAGTGTTCTATTACCTTCTTCCTGGTGTTCATTTAGAAGCGCGAGTAATTTAACCCTCGCCCCGTTGGGGGGGCCATTTTGGCCCCCCCCCCCCTGTGGTTTTTCCTGAATAGCAAGAAAACGACGGCGCGCAGCGCCGCCAAATTTTCAGTACCTTCCCGGGCATCAATTTGACACCTTCACACCAAATTTCAAGTCTTAGGTCACCTTAGGTCAGGAGTTATTGAGGTCAAACTGAGGTCATGTTCGAGCAAAAATGAGCAAAAAACATGCAATCTTGAAACGCTCACCAAATCTAGAGTTATCAAGCAATTTCAAAGTTCTTTATATGGACTAGTAGACAAAAAGCGGTGCTACAAAACTGCTGTCTCGGATTTTCAAAAATTTTGGTTTTTGACCAAAAAAAATTCAAAAAATTGATTTTTTTAGAAAAACTTTGAAAAAATCAAAAAATTTTCCGAATTTCGAAAAACCCGGAATATATGTGATAGTCCCAGCGCTCTTCTATATACATACCAAATTTCAGATCGATATCTCGTTTTTTGGCCAAGTTATAGCGAAAAAACTGTTCAAAAATGATGACGTCAAATTTTTAAACTCAATTTTTAGCGATTCTAGACCACGTACGGCAAAACAAAGACCACCATTGAACTCCCCGTGACGAGCTGCATCGATTCGATACCCATTTTATGCAAAAATATTAACTTTGAAATTTGACCTAATTTGACCTGACCTTGACCTGACCTTGACCTGACCTTGACCTGACCTTGACCTGACCTTGACCAAAACGTGATCTAAGCTGGCCCCAAAGGCTGCCTGACCCTTATAATTGCATTTGTCATGTAAAATGGACCATAAAACATGTATCACACGACACTTTCATATTGTGACCCCCCCGTGACCTGACCTCTGTGACCTGACCTGGTATCAGTGACCTCAAATAGCAAAATATGTGTTTGAAGAACATTTCCCCATCGATGATTTTCAATGAAATGCATTTTACTCGATTTTACAACGCATTTCTTGAAGTGCCTGTAAACGGTGAAAATTGGACCTTTGACCTGACCTGTGACGTCATCGGTTTGACCTAGGTCAATAAAATTGGGTCACAAGGTAGTTCCCCGTTGGGGCTATCCAACGCCGTTTACCGCTTGTCGCTATGTTGCGTGGTTCTCGAGATCTTAGGGGGGGGGGGCAAAATGCCCCCCCCCCCCAACCGGGCGCGTTGCTCGGCAGAGCCCAACGGGGCGCGGGTTAAGCGGGGAAGGGACTAAATTAACTTTCCTCAAGTGCTCAGATATGTACTGTGCAATTACACCGCTAACGGTGTTAATATTTTTCTGTGTGTGCCCGAGTAAACATCCTGCCCGTGAGATGAAAGGTGGATAGTATGCATACTACCTGGGCAGTATGTAAACTACCCGGGCGGTATGCATACTGCCCAAGGGGTCGGGTAGTATGCATACTACCCGGGCGGTATGCATACTGCCCGGGCTGTTGGGTAGTTTGCATACTGCCCGGGTAGTTTGCATACTGCCCTAGTTAGCATATGGCCCGTAACACATACATACACTTCAGACTCCGAGTCAGTGACCGACTTAAACACTAACATAAAAACACAGCTCCAAAAACTCGGGGATCGACTGAAACAAAAACACAGCATTACAAACAAACAAACAACTAAACAAACAAACAACTAAACACAGATAGCCCATACAAACACAGCTGCAGATACTCCGACTCGGGGATCGACTGAAACACAGACAAAGAAACACAGCTACAGCGACTCCGAGTCGGGGATCGACTGAAACACACAAACACTGGCATACAAACACTTCAGACTCCGACTCGGGTATCTACTGAACACAGACATGCAGGCATTACAGACAAACACAGCGAACATAAAAACACAGCTGCAGAGACTTTGACTCGGGGTGAACCGAAACACAATTAAACACAGGGGCAGACTGAAAAGTCAGATTTTGGGAAAGACAAACAAAAACATACAAAAATAGCATATAGCTGCATAGAATCCGGCTCGGAGATGTACTGAAAAGCGCAGACTTACAAGGTAAATACAGGTGTCTAAACCGTTCAAGATCGTTATAGGGCCTCTTTATCACATTATTTTGCTATTGTGATGTACTTGTGAGTGCGTGACAAAAATCCGGCGATTGTTTATGTTTCATACCCGTTTGAAGGTGCCCGCGTATCTCTGGAACATCTGTGGAGTCCATCTATAATAGGGCCGGTCCTCATCGAACTGAAACACACGGTAGAGTGGTATCATCTTTACAGTCTTCGTTCGAAGGTATGCAACAATTATGGACCTTTCCGTCCTGATGCATCCCACGGTCATTTAGCCCTGCTGCACGTTAATACGCCCGTTTTCTGTCACTGCTGCACTGACGCACCCGTTTTTTGACGATGCGTCTGTAATAGTCGTTGAAGTAGTCGGGGCTCCGTCGGATACCGGTGAGGCCACTGAAGGCGCTGGAACACTGCACCAGAACGGCGGCGACCACCAGCAGCAGGCAGACGTCGCACAGCTGGGCTCGACTCGACATCCTGTAATCAGTGCGTTGATTCTGAGCATGGGAGGGACATGTAAGGTAAAAGGAACACCATCAAAACCCGAATCAATGAGCCCGGTATGTTGAGTGCTTACTGCTTTCATAAAGATTCAAGTCTGTTCATAACGAACAATAATTGTACATATGCGTATTGCACATATGCGTCAAAAATGTACATACACGGGGGGGAGGCTCGTTTTTAAAGAGTCCATCTAGTCATTCCCATGACGAGCTTCTGGAATGGGGATTAATGAATTATGCATTGCTAAAGAAGCGAGATGACCGGCATTCACTGATAGCACTTCATCAATAATGCTTGATCAATAGGGGAGAGTGGGGCAAAGCGGCCACCCTAACGCTTCTCACGATGCCAACCCTTGATTTTTAAACTTGGAAAGATTCTTTCTATACCAATGTGATCCCTATTAAGTTGCCTTTTATTTCAACTGCGTTTTATTTCCAAAGGCGTTCACATATGAAAGATATTGACAAAACTTTAAACCTATGCATATTGGCCACTTTGCCCCATACCCTGGGGCAAAGCGGCCACCGGCGTCTTCTCAAGTCCCGACATGAGAAACAAAATAGTTCCTCGTGTACGACTAGGGTATTTGATGGTGACAAGGTTAAGCGAGGATGGATGTTTACTTTATCATCTTCCATCTGTAGGTAAACAAAGAAAGGATTTTCATGAAAAAAAAAAACATTTAATTGCATTATTTGGTAACTCATGCAACTGGAAAGTGGCCAAGATGAATGCATGGCGACACATTTGAATATAAATAATGTTTTTATCCAGATGGAAGCAGCTTATGGCCAATTGGGGGGGTGGCCACTTTGCCCCGTCTACTTTGCCCCGCGCTACCGTCCGAGACAAAAATATTCCAGCTTAGCTATTAGTGGGGTAAAAGACATTAAAATTGGTAGAATACATGTACGATAACCATGCAATGCATGGACAAGAACGCTTATAAAAATTCCAAACGGTTATGGAATAACGTAACATTAAAAAATTGTAAACATAGTTGGTAACCTGGCAAGAAATGCTTTTCCGTGTTTCACAGAACAATGGTGATGGGCCTGAAACCCCGGTCTGGCTCATTCGAACGACCGTGAAGAGAAGTATAATTGGAAACCATAAATTGGAACTGACGCCAGCTATGAAGGGCTAAAACGATGGGTGGCCGCTTTGCCCCGGGTGGCCGCTTTGCCCCACTCTCCCCTACGAAATTGCAAGGCCTGCCGAAGAAACTTCGACTGCAAGCTTGATATGGAACAGACTATAGTCGAACATGACAAAAAGAATTAGGCTGATCATAACATTTCAGTGATATGTAACACATGCCCTCCTGACATTCAGGCTTCAGTGCCAATTTGAACAGGCTTGATAGCTCACGCATGAATGTAAAACAGGACTTCCCTGAACGCTTTTTAATATACTTGCTTTCACAAGCTATTTTACTCTAAAAGAAGACACAGCGGACACATGTTCCTGTTCATGAATCCATTTGCATTCCAACATGAGTCTGAGTTGTAATTGTGTACCGCTTTTCATCGCACCGCCGTTGCATGAGTGCGGTCTATTCATAAAGCACGTGATCATGATGGGGTCGCCCGTGCGTGTCTAATGCGTCAGTTAAACACTCGGTAGTTGAATGGAAGAGCTTCCGTCTATTCTTCATCATCTACGGGCTATCGTCATGTCTATTGATTTAAGCCAAACTATTGCAATGTAAGCATGCTTATGAGGTACGGAATGTTAACAAAGCACATTTGCTTTCAACGTACACATGCACAATATATTTTTAGCTCTAGTGCAGCACAGTTCAATCGATTGTGTGTTGCCTGACGTCAGTGGGTTCATGTTTGACTATAAGTTCACAAATAAAAAAATCGTCATGCTAGAATGTAGACCCTTTACTTCTGCAGCATCACGCAACCACGGAGTTTGCAAATACCTCAAATGGTTTGTTAGTTTCCCCAGAGTCCGTCCAGCCAAAACTATAGCTGGACCATAAGCGAGGAAGGCCCTGCTGAAATCCCCAGACCCACCTGATGGTGCTGTGAAGAGGAACGGCCAGCCGCGGGGAGAGACTCGCAGTCGGCGAGATGCGATCGGCGACTGACCGAGGACGCTGCGCTATCCACCAGGTCACCGTCGGCCAGAGAGCTGCGCAGGGCAGGCGCGGCCACCCAGTCCCGCTAATACACCCACGCCCCACCAGTCACACACCCAGTGGACACCAACTGTCCGAGCCGGACACCCTCGCTCCGCGCCGGACGCCCACTCTCCGCGACTGTTGATCTCGAGCGCTGCGCAGTACTAATATCCAGCAGCGTGGCTATTTAAGCTTCGACAAAAAGATAATGACGTATGATCGACACCGGGCCAGCGTGCGAATTTGTTATTGCAGTCGGATACAAAAACGGATAGCTCGTGCTCACACAGAAAAATATTGACACCGTTAGCGGTGTAATTGCACAGTACAGCCCTCAGCAGACTGCGTGGTAGGTATTCTTTTTTCGACAAAACCGGTAATAACTCAGAGGCTATGCTATCAGTCGGTCAGAACTCACTGCAAATAGATGCGCCATGCTCCACTCCTTCGATTAGGTGTATCACTAAACAAAGTATACGCCTTGTGTGGCAACAAAATGCAAAAGTTTGTTTTGGGGGCAAATATAAACTTTTGGATTTTGTTGTCGAACTAGAAGGAAAATGAATACGGTGATGATGCCAATCTAAGGTGCGGAGTCTCGCGTGTCTTCCTGTTACGATTTGCGAATGACCGATAGCATAGTATGCGCATTATTATCGTTTTTGTCGAAAAAAGAATACCTACCACGCAGTTTGCAGAGGGCTGTACATATCTGAGCACTTGAGGAAAGTTAATTTAGTCCCTTCCCCGCTTAAATTACTCGCGCTTCCAAATGAACACCAGGAAGAAGGTAATAGAACACTGTTAGGAGGGTTGGGTGTTTTACTACATGTAGCAAAACACCCAACCCTCCTAACAGTGTTCTATTACCTTCTTCCTGGTGTTCATTTGGAAGCGCGAGTAATTTAAGCGGGGAAGGGACTAAATTAACTTTCCTCAAGGCTCAAGTGCTCAGTACTGTGCAATTACACCGCTAACGGTGTTAATATTTTTCTGTGTGCTAAGTTTCAAGGCAACCGGACATTAATTTCCTCGTATTGACGTCAACCTGTAACCCGTACTAGTAGTTAATAACTAGAACACGCATGCAATCGAACAATTATCTTCACAACAGTTGGAGCATCTTGATCTTGTCACTCATGTGGCAAATGAAGAAGGTAACAGTATCAGTTTGTTCAGTTCAATATGATTGGTGATCTTTCTGTATATGAGGCTCCCATTTCTATTCTGGTAGCTATTAAAAAGGTAGGTAAATTGGATGGTCCCAAAGTTTGATGATAATCGTAAACTCGTTCACACTGCTAGTTAGTATACCTACCTGGTCAACATAACAGCTCCAATTTTTCATAGTTCCCGGAAAGGCTTCATGAACGGTTCACATGTGGACGCTTACGAAACTTTTTATCCAGCAGTTCAGGCAACAGGTAGGTCAGTTCTGCATCGTTTTAATAAACTTCACTGCAGAGTCACTTTGTAGTTATCCTCTGGGCTAAGTTCAAAGCTCATACCGACTTATAGCGTTTCTGCGTTGCTACGCCCTGCGTTGTTTTCACACCAGATGGCCTGTTCCGGTTGATAAGAAACTTGGCGGCTGTTTTTGTCCCAAAATAGCCGCGTGACGACGTCGTCCTTTTGAAACGAATTGACCCAGCGCACACTGGTCGGAAACGCTCCAGCGAGAGGCCAGCGGCCTTTCCGCAAAAGTTTTTTGCTTGTTATTCCACAACTAGTGAAGCAAACTTCATAAAACTTTGCATACCTTCTCTGTCATATGTAAGCTATCATTTGGATGTCAAGCACTAAATATATGACGTGAATCTGTTAAGTTATGACGTCATAATTGAGTATAATACAGGATCTAGCACCACTTTAAGTCAACAAGGGAAATTGGGAGCTGCTATTCGGGCACCGGGAATGGTTTCATGCACTCCTTGCAAGGTCCAGTGCTTGACTTTAGCATTGTTGACTTTGCGTGACGTCATTTATGACGTCACTAAGGCCATGTAAGTTTTTCGTCAATAACTCCTGATCAGATGGAGCTAAAGAGTCGGGAAAGCCACCATTGGACTCAGGAAGACCTGCCGAATCGAATGATATGCGATATGACCTCCTCCAACCATTTTCGTGACCTGAGGGGCTCAGACCTGACCTTGACCCGAGGTTAACACCTTAACCCTCGCCGGCACAGGGGGTGGGGGTTGATGCAACCCCCCTAAGGTTTTTCGCAAATAACTCGCGTAAAAAGCGGCCGATCGCGACGAAACTTTCAGTACCCTCGCATTGATCAATTTTACACCTACCCTGAAAATTTCATGACCCTGACCCCAATGGCCTTTGACCTGTGACCTCTTTTCCGTGACCATGTTTGGCCGAAATCGCGATTCGGCGTATGTCGGCTCGCATTAGCCGCGCGTTTGCAAGCTTTTCGTGGTTTCAAACGTTCAAACATGTGATTTGATGTTGCTCCCATACATTAGGATGGGTGTCAAGGTCACCTGAAGGTCAGGTCAGGTCATTGACCTTTGGTGACCTCGGGTGACCTCGGTTCACTTTTTCGAGTTTTACATGTTTCTAGGCTAGTTTTTGGAGCTGAATTCTAATTTAGCAACCATTTGAACATTTACGAAGTAGTTTTGGCGCCTTCATAACATGTTACGAAGCTGTCAGAGGCGGTTGACACGTATTACGAATACCCGTCACAACCCCTACCGGTTGACCTGACTGACCTGACCCGACCTGGTCTAAATGCTTAAAGACATCATCTCTGATCAAAACTAATACGATATTCGTGATCAGCACCCCGGAAAACCACATAGCAGCCACAATTTACGACTTTCTAACAGGTCCCGATTTTCCCGGTTTTCGGGTCATTGACCTGACCTGGAAGGTCACCCGATGACCTAGGACCTTAACATTGGGTATCATCGGCTTCCTCTCGTGACGGGCAACACGCTCGTTTTTTTCCGCGAGGCTCTAGCTCGATCAGGGGCCAAACGCGAGGGGGGGGGTCGTACCAACCAACCCCCCCCCCTTGTGCCGTCGAAGGACGCAAAATGGCCTGTGCCGGCGAGGGTTAAGCTGACTTCACCCGAACACCAAGTATAGCATTCAACGCGCCTGAGCTAGACAAACACGATTAAACCAAAATCGCGGCAGTGCGACCATTTTTGGCAAAGTAATTAACCTTACACCGAGCCCGTGCCTTGTGGCACTTACCTGACCTAAGAGGTCACTGGCTGACCTAAGACCTTAGAATCGGGTAGTACCTAATTTTTGCGTCTTATAACGGCACACAAGCTTGTTTTTTTCCGCGAGGCTCTAGCTCAATTAGAGGCGAAACGGCGAGGGAGTTGTACCAACCCTCCCCGGTCAATGTAGAAAACCAATCGGTCCGGCCAGGGTACCGGAATTGCGATCAAATGTAAAAAGACGGCCCAAGGTAATCCGACGTCAGTGACAGGTGTCCTATATTTGCAGCGTCTTATATTCACGAAGGTTTCAATTTCCACTTTCTTCAGCCGATTGATGGTTGTCAATAGCAAGGCTCTCTAAATGCAAGCCGTAATCGCCACGCAATATGTGGAAATGTCAATACATACATAAATGCATACACAAAACGCGCTTTTCACAAAATTCATAAACTCAAGCGCCACTGGCGGATCCAGGGGGGGGGGCCACCGGGGCCATGGCCCCCCCCAAAAGCCTGAAAGGGGGGGCCAACATATCTTTTGCCCCCCCCCCCCCCAAAACGCTTGGAGAAAAATTAATGTGAGAAGGTTGCGTGGTAGATACCCACTAGAATCAGCAGCGTGATTCAATAGCGTAGAGAAAGTCAGGGGCGCGGGAACTACTTTCAGACTGGGGGAGCACACCATAATAGAGATCAACCTAGGGTCCCCCCAAATCTAGTTTTCTCACCGGTTTTAGGCCACTTTTTTCATCCCTTGGCTTTTTCAACAAAAAAAAAGAAACAGTTGCAAAAAAGGACGGTATTCCGTTTGAAAGTTGTGGGGCACTGGCGGATTCAAGGGGGCCACCGGGGCCATGGGCCCAAAAAGCCTGAAAGAGGGGGCCAACATATCTTTTGGCCCCCCAAAACGCTCGAAGAAAAATTAATGTGAGAAGGTTGTGTAGTAGATACTTACTAGAATCAGCAGCGTGATTCAATAGCGTAGAGAAACCCAGGGGCGCGGGAACTACTTTTAGACGGGCGGGGGGGGGGGGGGGGGAGGTCACACCATGATAGAGATCAACCTAGGATCCCCCAAATATAGTTTTCTCGCCGGTTTTAGGCCACTTATTTTTCATCCCTTGGCTTGTTCAACAAAAAAAGAAAATATTTGCAAAAAGGAGCGGTATTCTGTCTGAAAGTTGTGGGGGCACCGCCCGCACGGCCCCAGAGTTGGGGGGGGGGGGGCAAGCTGCCACCACTGCCCCCTCCCCCCGGTTCCCGCGCCTATGGAGAAACTACCGGGTTTACTAGCTTCCTTCATAAAGTGTCGTCATGTCTTATCGTCACCCGAGAAGGTCTTATTGCATAAATATCGATTGAGCTGTCAAGTTAACAAACTTGCTGTGGCAGCCTGACCTGACATGACCCGGCAACTTTTCATTCACGGAATATGCGCAATAAATTCTTTAGGAAAACTCACTGAGTTTTCGTTGAAAAAAACTTGTTTTGTTTCGTAATTGTACAAGAAGCATATGAGGGACCTTTTTGTCCCTTCCTGCGAAACGGTAAAAGACTTATTTCGGTCACAGCTCAGGCCAATCTCTAAGGGTCAGTCGGGTCACTTATTTCTTAAAAGGGTCCTTACGGCATCCAAGGACCAATTCCGGCTTTTGAGTGCGCCACATCAGCATTTGATGCTACGACAGATGTCGAAATCTGAATATATGTTACAGGCCGTATGAAAATTCGGTCCGTTTGCAAACGGCCTGGCCCAGTCAGGCCATATGAAACTACCTGAAAACACCGGCCGTTTGCAAACTATGACCTGAAATATCAGACCGTTTGAAAACGACCTAGTTAGTTTCGGCCTAGCGGATCCAGGGGGGCCACGGGGTCATGCCCCCAAGCCTGAAAGGGGAACAACATATATTTTTCGTCCCCAAAAACACTTAAGAAAAATGAATGTGAGAAGGGCGTAGTAGGTAGAGAGAAAATACCGTATCATTAAAAATCTGTGAGCTTGATAAAAGTGTTGGTCTTGTCTTCATCCAAGAAGTTCTTATTGTACACTTTAACCATGGATGAAAGAACCTTCATCCCCTGGTTCTCCTTCATCCATGCTTTAACTCTCGATCGACGTGTGAAGTTATCGTGTAAGGTATCATGAAGCCGATCGCGACGAAACTTTAGTACCCTCATGGTGACAAAGTCTGAAAATTTCATGACCCTGACCCAAGTGAACTTTGACTTGTGGCCTATTTCTCGACTGTTTGGCCATGTTGGAGGCCATGTTTGGCCGGAATAGCGATTCGGCGTATGTCGGCTCACATTATCCGCGCTTTTATAGTCTTTTCGTGGTTTAAAACGCTCAAACATGTGATATGATGTTGCTCCCACGCATTAGGGCGGATGCCAATGTCACCTTACGGTCAAGTCAGGTCATTGACCTTTGATGACCTCGGTGCACTTTTCCGAGTTTAACATGTTTCTAGGATAGTTTCGTTTAGCTGATTTTGAATTTAGCATTTTGCAGCCATTTGAACATTTACGAAGTAGTTTTGATGCCTTCGTATCATGTTACGTAGCTGCCAGTGGTAGTGGACACCTGCTATACGGACGCCCATAAGTACTCCTACTGGTTGATCTGACCTGACCTGCCCCGACATGGTCTAAACGCATGAAGACATTATCTATGATCCAAACTAACATGAAATTTGTGATCAGCACAAAAAAACGTATTACAGCCTTACTTTAGGAGGTTCTGACAGGTCCTGATTTTCCCGTCTTTTGGGTCTGTGACCTGACCTGGGCGGTGTTTCACGGCACGCTGCCAGCCGCTGCCAGCGCTGATGGCACTTTTGGTTTCAATGGAGACATCAACAAGCCTATACCCACAACACTACCGAAGGCTGACCTTAGCTCGCGGAATGCGCTGTCAGCGGCTGTCAGCACGACCGTGAAACACCGCCCTGGAAGGTCAACCAATGACCAAGGACCTTAAAATCGGGTATCATCGGCTTCGTCTCGTCACTCACGGGCAACACGCCTGTTTTTCTTCCGCGAGCTCTAGCTTAATCAGGGGCCGAACGGCAGGGGGTCCAACCGACACCTCCCAGCCCGCGAAGGCTGCGCCACGTACCGACCCGGAGCGGGCTAATTGGTCGACAAAAGCAATTTGAAGTGTTTTCAAAGTAATATTTAGGCTCGGGTTGGGTGGGCTACCATTTCTATTTTTTTTATTTTTAGTTAAAAAAAAAAATATCGTTTCAGGGCTGTGACGAAAAAATAAGTGGCCTAAATCCGATGAGAAAACAGGATTTGGGGGTACCCTAGGTTTGGTTACTTGCAGGAGTTGGCCCCCCCCCAAAACGCAAGTCTGGATCCGCCAGTGTCAAGCGCATCTGTTTTTAATGACCAGTCAACTACGCATGGATGCGTGCAGGCCACACAGGTCAGCGTAAGCCGGGCGCGGCGGCCGAGCCGAAACTGGGGCGGGGCGGGCGGTACTTGGGTAGGAAGAGCGGCGCCTGCAAATTTTGCGCAAATATGCGCAGTTAGCTTTTATGTTGCCCTGGTGTAAATTTAAATCCTACTTCATCTAAAAAAAAATCAGAGTGGAACTAGATGGGACTACCTGTTGTTTCCTTACCTAAACTTTGCAGTTATATTCCAGAATCACTGTAGGAGAGCCTTCATAAAAAAGCTATAGTACATCTTAGTTAGGGAAAAAGTATACCAAAAATTTTGCAATGACCAGTCGGCAACTTCATAACGAACATTTTGATGCATAATATGTGGGATTTCAATTTGGTGTCTATCAGCAATAAGACTCTGAATATCCGGCTCAAGAAACCTCTTGCTCCGCGTCAGTTTCCGAGTTCTGGGATACCCCATCTTCGGGGGCTGATTACAGCTATTTTTGGTCACCCGGATTAGTTTTTTTGGCTTAAGTATAATAATTTGATCAATTTCAAATCGATCTATATAAAAAATAATCCGAAACTCCGGAATCGCCCGTGGCCTCTCGTGAGGGCGTTTCCGACCAGTGTGCAGCGGGGACACGGCTGAAATCACTCACGTGACTGCTGCGCCATCTACGTCACAAGACTGGCGCCGGAGGCTGTGGAAAACAGCTCCGGATGGGAGTCACGTCTGGCAGGAGGTGGACGGAGGTGGCTTAGTGGGTGGAAATGAGCGCCCGGGGGAGGAGCGAGAGGCTGGGCGGTCGTTGCCGGTGGTGCTGGGCCCTGGGGCGGACAGGAGATCGATATCGAAGAGCCGGTAGAGATAATTTAGAATGATGGTCGTCCGTTTAGCGTCCATTTATGGATCGTTTGTGGCTTCTTATACGGGATGTGCATTTGATAGCTGCGGTCATTCCGAGAATCAGGTTCAGTGCTTGCGCACAGCCCCATCGCCCTCCTCCCGTCCATCGGCATATGTACAATTCTCAGCTCAGGCATCTACTGATCGCGCGCAGTGAGTTGGCTTGGGTAATGCGGTACAGCATAGCTTCCAGGCGTTACTAGTAGCGCCATCTATTGACAGGAATTAACCCTCGCCCGCACATGCCATTTTCCCATCCTAGAACGCACATGGGGGGGGGGGGGGGGTGGTTGCCACCCCCCCCCCCGCGCCATTTCGTTCCTGTTGGAGATAGAGCTTAGCAGTAAAGACCAAAAAGATTCTTTGGGAAGAGACGAATCCAATGATACCCAGTTTTACCTTCTCAGGTCAGTCATTGACCTTCCAGGTCAGGTCAAACTAAAAAATGTTGCTGTTTTGGGTCACCGTTGGATATCAAGTGCGCTGCTTATCAAAGACCGATGACGATGCTGTTTTCTGGTGCCAAGCCAGCTAGAACCTCTTTGTCACACTATCCGACCATAATTTTGCTGCTGAGGTCATTTCAGGTCAAGTTAGGTCAAGGTCAATTATATGTGTTTGTATGTCTGTGTGTGTCTGTGTGTATACTGATGTGTGCACCGATTGTTTTTGGGTCCATATCACATGAAATCATGATCTGAGAAGCTTTTACCAAAAATGCAGTCAAAAAACTTCACAAAAAGTAAATTCAGCTTACCTAAAACGCAATTATCTTAGATGACCTAGGTTGACCTTGACCCTGACCTTGACCCCTGTACATCGTCGAACAACATGTTCCATGATAGGTGGGAGGTAAGACTGGCAAAAAAGGCCGAAATCAGGGTGTCAAAAGCTCACAAGGCCCATGGCAAACGCAAGATGTTGAGAATTGGCCATTTGGGTCATGACATGACCTGAAAAAACAAGGTCATATCTCCAAAAGCAAAAATCACAGAAACTTGAAATTTTCAGTGGACATCAAGAAAGGATAGACGAGCAGCTATACGAAAAATCAGCCTTCTAGCTCTAAAAATGTTGAGTGCAGAGCAGAAAGACTGCCTGGGGGGGGTGGCAACCCCCCCCCCCCATGTGCGGGCGAGGGTTAAAGTTTCTCACCCTAAGCCGCAGTGAGTCGGCAACGTGTAATACGGTACAGCATATCTTCCAAGGTGTAAACTAGCGCCATCTATGGGCAGGGATTAAAGTAGCCTTTCTCACCGTAAAAGAACTAGCCTGTCGATCGCAAAATGGATTCAGTCTAAAGACTGCATGTCTGTGACAACTAACAGCAAATCGCCAGACAATGAGCTTTTCGCTGATGCCATGAGTTAGAAAAGCAAGCTGTTGATAAGACCCTTAGGAAGCTTTTTTATTAAGGCAACTCATTTTCTCGATAATTGTCCTGGGGGTGCTATTGACAGCTATTATTGTCACACCGATAGCTAGCTGATGATGTGAGCGGCATTAAACAGCAGCCAATACGGGCATGGTAACCGGTATCCAAGTGGCCGCCCCGTCTCTGATCGATCGTCGCAACAGGCGCAACAGCACGGCCGCAATGCCGAGTCGACAGCGGTAAAAACACGAATTAGACCCACCAGTCTGTGCGGCTGTCGGTGGAAATGCAGCGAAATAACTCCGTAAGTGCAGCCTAATTGGCGGCAAAACCAATGCTCGGGTATTGAGGCGAACCTAATGGCTGAAACTAGGGCCTTGGCTGAAACACTCAGCGAAAGGGTGCGGTCGTAGCCAGCGCTAAGCCGATGTTTTTTTTGGTATAAAATATAAAAAAAAAACATAAAAACAAGCCGGGTTAGTTTAAGATACGGCTGTATTATAATAGAAGCAAACCCGAGAAGTAAAAGGACTTGCCGGATAAATTTATGAAATAATCAATCTTTGGAAAAAGATTGACGGAAGCGTTGCCATCTTGCGCAAGCAAATTGCCTCGACTTGTTGCAGCGAATACCAGCCCAGCCAGTCCGAGTTGAAGTTTCGCGCACTTTGTGGTTGAAGTCATAAAATGAAAATGTATCTAAACAGTTATGTAATTTATTGTGTAACTTTCGTAACGACCACAAAACTATGCCTACATACTTGCACTGTCCACGAATAAAGTGAGCTGCAAGTAGTATGTTTTCGCATTCAAACATTGTAGGAGGAAGAAAAATGAGAAATTATCTTTACCAATATCTATCCTAGCCCATCTCGTTCGTCTGCGATCCCTCCACCAAACCGACACGAGTCACATCGCAGGCGTTTATTGGTCGCGGTACTGATTACATCAGCGTGACGGCCCGACGGCGTCACGTCACATCGACACGAGGACCACGGAGACATGCAGATTGCAGAGAGCTGCGTGCGCGCGCCGCATGGCGGCCGCGGCGGCCCGACAGTTTGATATTACAACACAGCCATCCCTCGATACACGGACTGCCTATGGAAAAATACCCGGCGAGCGAGCGAGCGAGCGCCGCGCGCAAAGTACCAAACCGTCAGAGAAGAAAACACGACGAGCCCTTCCCGGGCATAGCTAATGACACGGACGAGACAGTTGAAGTGGCGGCGCCTGCCGCGCCGGGCCGGCGAGCCGTCTAACACTCAGCGGTTCACGCGGGCTGCCGTGAACGCCGAGAGCACGGACAGCCCGCCAACGACGGTCAGCCGCCGAGACGCCGCCGTGGCCGAGCCCCCGCACCGTCTCAGCAGCCGACAGGCGCCGGCGGGCCGTCAAATCTAGTCTGTACACAAATATAGCCCGGGACCGGTCGGCCCGACGTCTGTACACAAACAACTGCGCGCACGGCACCACACCAGACCGGAACAATAATCAGAAATGCCATCTCAGGTCGGCCGCAGAGTGCGGCGCCTCTCCAGTCCACTGAATAAACCCCGCTGGGGGAAAATGCACCTCTACGACCGGCAATTACAGCAAGCCTAAGTACGTCGCGGATAGCGCTACACGAGGCCGCCGCTGTCCATAGCACAACGGTCGGCTGGAAAGAAGGGTCCCTTGATTAACCAGCGGACAGCAAGTGTGACCAGCCGGGCGGTATTTTACGTCAGCTGCGGCGGCGGAGAGCTGATCCCACCGCTGGGAGCCGGCGGCGGCGGAGATCCGACCGCCCTATACAATACAATAGACAGGCCCGGACCAGACGACTGCCGGGCCGGGGAGGGGCGGAACGCAATAGGGAGGGACACAGACGGACGGCGCACCACCGCAGAGGAGCGCCCGACTCGTCACACTTTCAGACGGCAATCCAACCGACAGGGGCCGTCACACGTCACAATCACACGTCACAACCAGGCCGCTAAACACAGACACACTCGCCCTGCTCACTCACTCACTCGTTCTCATATGTAACTCAAACCATCCCAGTCGAAAGATCAGAGCAGAGTCTCCCCGAGTACCGCCTGTCCGCGATTGTCCACGATGACAGAAACAATCGTACAAAGACACACATACGATCACATCCTATGACAGCCACACCTACTCACACACCACAGCAACGCACATAAACTCACACAACAACACTCACAATCGCTCACAGTCACACCTAAGCCAGATACAACCTGTGATAGTCATTGGCACCGAACGCAGCATTACACTTGGGACACTTGCGCTGTCGTGTCTCGTAGCGTGTGCGCAGACAGCTGAAGCAGAAGACGTGGAAGCACTTGGTGAGCACGGCATCCTTCCGCTTCACCTTGCACGATGGACACGTCAGCTGCTCCTTGTACTCGCGGACCTGGATGGCAGAGTTAGAGAGTGAGAGAGGGAAGAGGGAAGGAGGAGGACATAATGGACACCTCAGCTGCTCATTGTACTCAAGAACCTAGAGGATACAAGGCGGGCAGTTACGAGATGAGACAGATGCGAAGAGCGTCGGTTTATAGGTATCGAGCACATGCGGTAGCTCGACTTATTGTCAAAACTTTATAAATACCGACGCACGGCGGCAGGACGGGTAGATCGCTAATAATTTCCGTTGCGTAACAGGCATGCCGTGCGTGCATGCCTGGCCAAATATCGCGCATCAACCAGTCAGACCCCAGGCGGGTATGATTGGTTCCACCGGGATAATAAAAAGGAATAGCGTCGCGCTTCATCGCGGATGTTCCTAACAATCATCACATGCTTTGTCCACACTACATAACGCTGAATTGGAGACTTACATGACCGACATAATTACCTAGCATTACCGCGCCATTGTCTTAGCCAATTACCAGCGGTCACGAGGTATCTGCTAAGGTCAACAAACTTAATGAAAGCCTCTTCGATCACCGTAAACACCAGACAAAACTGCATCAAAGGCCCAATTCCCCCACCGGACTCGAATACCCGGTCATCCACCGCCTAAAACTAACTTCCACATCAGTTATACCCCCCCCCCCGGGCCCCAGAACCTACCTCCTCCATGAGAACATCGTCCGCGGCACCGGCCAGCTCGATCTTCTTGGCCCGTTCGAGTTTTCGCCGGAGCGCCGCCAGCTCCTCCTGAAGCCGGCGCGTCTTGAACGTCTCCTGCTCCATCGAGGAGGTTTTCTCGGCCACCACCTGTTGCGCCTCGGTCATCTGCGCGTGGTACTTCTCTGTGACACAGAGGGGGGGGGGGTAAGAGGGCCAAATTGTGCCTCAGTCATCAGCGCGTGGTACTTCTCTGTGACACAGAGGACAGCGGGTGCAAGTGATAAGACTGGTGGTGGGGACAATGTGGTAGCTCGTGAGGGAAGTAACAGACATGATTAGGCCTCAATAGGCTCTGAATAACACGTCTAAACCAGGTAGACGTGATGTGAGGATCACGTCAGTCAGTTGCTTCTCAGTTCCCGTGTCACGGAGAAAAGTTCACTCTCTTCACTCACCGAGATGAAGTTTGAGATCGGCGGCGGCCTGTGCCGACTCGATAGCCTTTCGTTTGTGCATCTCCATGGCCTGTTGTCGGAAGCCGAGCTCCTTTTTGACGTTGGCCAGGTCGCTCTGCATGTGTCGCTCCATCTCCTCCAGACTGCGTACCACCTGGTTCTGCGCCTCCACCTGCGTGGTCAGCGTCTTCACCTGGCGGGAAGGGGTGGAGGGTCAGCTGAAGGATTATCGTCAACAGAGAGGGTTAAGGAGTCGGCTGCAGAGATATCACTACTAATTAGTTTAGGTGAGCGTCTACACGATTGTCCGAGAGGAATGGAGGGTAAACATCGGCAGTCGCGGGGTTTTAGTCGATAACTACGGACGGGCGAGTGCGTCCGAAATTGTTGGATGATCAGTATTGACGCGTAGAAGTGCTGTAAGGATAGCACCAACAACATCAGGGAAGTTAGAAGCTATTTTGACAGCCTAAAAACCCTTGTGTCTAATGCACTAGGCCTCGACCCATCCAAAGATACGACCACAGCACATTTTACACATCAAACCGAATTGCGCAGCTATTTCTTGCGTAGTTTAACAACATATCGCCAGCGCGTTCAATTGCCATAAGCGGTTGTTGGTTTCGGCCCACAACAATCAACGATTTTCCTTGGCCCCCGACATTTCCAGCAAACGGCGACCTTTCATCGGACCATTATAATAATCGCGATTTGCGCATCGGTTCCACCCACACCGGACGACCGATCGTTTCATCGTTCATATAATAAATGGTTAGTGGGCGCAACCGACCTTCCATATAAGTATGAGCCGTTGGCCGTTTGTTGGGGCCAGGAAAAACAGGCCCGTTGTCGACGTGGCCTTTTAGGTCGCCAACGCGTGTTGATGAAATGCGTCGTTTATGACGCACCAAAGCGATGAAGGTGACTTATAGTGATCACCGAAAGTCATTGCTTTTCATATAAAACAATCGGTAGGGTGAAGACGTATTTAGGAGTTGACCCAAAAATGAAATTGAAATTTACAGCAAGAAGGACCTGTAGAAGAATTCCTCAAGGTGGTGTGATTGACAGCTTCCGTGTATCTCTATACCAACTTCGCTTCATCTTGAAAATAGTTAAGAAACGTCTCACGTAAAATAGCCATAAATGGATTTTATGCTTAGAGATTCCAAGAACCTGACATGTACCATCAACTGAGCCAAGTGGTCTAACTTTTACACATCAACTTTGCCGATAAAAAGTTATTCGGTTAACTAAGCTGCTTAGCGCCTGCGCTATAACAAAAAAAAAAAAAAATAAATACCGACACATTTGATTTTGCCGTGAAAGTTTTCGCTGAAGAAAATGAGCAAAAAGAGAACAGTCAGCATAAATGGCAGCAGTTTGGCTGAATAATGCAGGATAAGTCCTAGACGGGAAAAATCCTACGCTAACTTGAAATATTACCGATCAGAAATGTCCATAAAAGAAAAGGGGATTGCTCATTAGTAGCTCACGGCAATCATACACTATCTATGTTGCTACAATCCACATAAGGGTACAGATGGCACTGAATTACGTGTCTGCGAAGTCATTATTCTAATTTCTCACGCATATCCCCTGTAAATAAATCGTTACTTTTCACGGCGTACTAAAATTAAACATAACGGCCCATTCCCATCGGTTGACCTACCCTCTCGCTCATCATATCCTTCTCTTCCAGAACGAGCTTGTGCGTCTGGTTGGCCTTGATGCGCTCCGACATCAGCTTGAAGTTGGCGTCGTCCTTCTCTCGCAGCTGCTGGATGAGCCGGATGTTCTGGTCCTGCATGTCCTCGAAGGCCTGACCGGTGACTTCCATTTCGCTGAGCAGAGCCTCAGCCTCCTGCAGGGGGACACGGGGTACGGCTAGAGTCAGAAGTTTGTCACACAAGTCACAAAGTACAGTAAAAAACGACAACAGGCGGCAGAGCAAACAGAGATCCAGTCTCCTGCGGTGGAATACGGGGTAATTAGTCAGAGCCTCCTTGTGGGGCATAAGGGTACAGTATAGCCAGAGCCCGCGGGCAAGGTACACCGGCGTACAGTCAGCGGCTCAGAGAAAAGGTGCACAGCGAAACACCAAGAGCCAGTCTCCTACGAGGTACGGTAGATAAAGTGTGTCAAAGCCGATATCAGACAACAAAGCACGCCATAAAAGGTACACTCGAGCCTCAGCCCGCTGCAGCGGCAGCCACAGCACACACGGTACAATGAGAGCCGGTATGAGACGGCAAAGCAGACAGTACTTGATACACTTGATACACCCAATACCAGTTTGGTGGACCCCCACCCCACCAGCCGGCAGCCAGACACCGCAGTTATCCACTGTACCTGTTTCTGGTTGTGGATCTGCTTCTGTAGCGTGTGGTTGTGCTCCTCCAGCAGACGGATCTTGCGAATGGCGTCCTCGTCGGCTAGTTTCTTCCGTTCCTCCCGCTTTGCCTCCTGTAACGTTGATTGAAGCGTGGGTCAGGCAGGTCCAGTCATAGTATTCACACCGAGTGGGATAAGAGAACGTGGTGAAAAGACAGCGACGTCCCTGAATATTTCGAACATTAATTCATTGATTACATTAGCTTGTGGCCTTTATGAGACGTCGAGAGGCCAATCAATTTGTCCTACGATATTGACTATCCCTAATAAGATAAAATCTGTCGGAGACGGACAACGCCTGACGCAGAGATGGGCCAATCACTGTGAGTAAGCCTATTACAACTCAAATGTCCGAGAGGATTCGTCCAGGCTTTGATGTGATATACTAACATCAATGGAGCGTTATATAAAGAGTACCAAGCCCACCCCCAGCACATTATTAACGAGATACGGACACCTAACTAATATGAGGTTGTCAGGCGTAGGAGGAACATTGAACGGTGGGCTTCACGGAATAATGTCAGAGACCCGATAGAGCCGGACCTGTCGCCAGGCCAACAGGAATGAAGCAGATATGGCCGCCTCGCCTCACTCTAACAGTCAGGCGAGTCGGCTGTCACAGCAAAAACACTGTTCAGCAATGCTGTGAGCCTCCTACATACTCTGGTTCCACCACTAACAACCACAAGCATCCGCGACGCTAAAGCGTCCCAACATTTAATATCGGAGCTCGCGACCTTTCTGGCACACCACTGCACAAAAAAGTCTCCAACCGACCGGCACCTAGGCAAGAGGTATGCAGCATCCTTCATCCAACCGTCAGTCACATGAGCTCTTACACGACCCAGCCGCTCATCTGCTCGTCCTCCCCTGCGGCCGGTGTCTCCCCTCTGCCCCTCGGCGCTCACCTGGAAGCGTTTGAGCTGCATCCGCAGGTCGTCACACTCCTGACGTGCCTTCTTGTCGGCCGCCATCAGCTGCACCTTGTCCCGCTGCTCCTTCCCCACGCCTTTGTACATGTCCAGCAATAACTTCATCTCCTTCTGGTCGTTCAGCGCCTTCCTGCAGGCACATAGGGCGAGGTCGGGCAGGTGTTAGAGCTACACTTGATACACCTATGTAAGCATGGGTAGATATGAACATTAGTTGAAGCATATAAGAGAGGAAGGTCGGAAACAATGTGGATAAAGAGTTGGGTACCATAGTACAATATAAGCGTGCAATATCACTACCCTCAAGCTATTTACGTATTTATAAGTAGGTATACCATCAAATATAAAAATAATTAGTAAACCATAAAAGGAAAACAACACACAACGTTCACAATCCCTGTAAGCTGTAGCAGCTAACGGATATGGTCAATCCCTCTTTACAGTCTATCTTTGGAAAAGTCTGGCCGATCCGAGTTGTAGCAGCCCGCATCTAGCCGGACGCCGGACAGATCCGCACTAAATTCCAATCACACACCGCCCTCATGTCTAAAGGTCAACTGACGCCGGCACCGGTTCTTTGATCTCATTGACAAAGTATATGTGGGAGCGACACACATCCGGATGGACAAATGGAACGAGGAAAAATCGAGATATCAGCGGGCATCACCTGGCCTGGATGAGTTTCACGAACGACCGTTATTATGAGTTTGTAACAAATATTAGTTGAAAAGCTAGTCTACAGGGTGTCTCAAAAGTTCGTTGACAGCTACCGGCTATGCTTTTTTGTCAATAATTCTGAATCAACTAGAAATTAACAGTCGAAATTTTGCATGGGCATTGGTAACAACCTTCCCCCGGCAGTCGCATTGTTTTCAAGCGCATTCGACCCTTCATGAGCTCACAAAAAGGGTTCACCTCTGACCATGGGTCAGGCATGAAAATGGAGGTCGCAAAATCGGGTCGGCTGAGAAACTCTCTGATTCAGGAGTAATGGAAATGGTTAAGTCGGAAATGACACATGGCAGTGTCGGCGGGGATGAGTACAACATGATGATCATCTGATAAAAACGGTGGCTAAAAATTGTGAAGGACGAAACCATGCGAGACTAACAGCGTTTTGAACGACCTTCGTACGGCAGCAGACTCGTGCTCCGGAAAGCAGCTAAAAATGCGGTCATAACTATTGAAAACTGCCCAGAAGCTCACAGACAGAGGTTACCCAGTTTCAAAAATTGCAGGTCATCATAAGATAAAGACAAAGAATCATTTTGAAATTGTTTATAATATCTATAACGCTAAATTTTTGGGGAAAATAACACGAAAATCGTCAATGCCAAGGCAACTGACCCTCCAAAAGTGTCATTTAATGTAAAGTTTTATCTTACGAAGTTTCAAGAGGCAGATCTGGAGCAAATAGCTTTCTTTTAGACATAAAATCCCAACAAAAACCGCACGATGGACAGGTTTTGGCCGTTTACAAAGCAGAACCTCTCCTGGGCAAATCGGTATGGGCAAATATTTTTGGAGATGCAGCAAAGGGTTTGGTTTCCATCCTTCCGAATCAGTTGTCAATGCATGCATAGGTATTTGTCTAGTGTACACACAGACACCAAAACCTTAGATTTTTGGCCGGATCTTATATGTTTTATTGGCATGAGAAATGTGTGAACGAACTTTTGAGACACCCTGTATATGTAGATTGCAAATATCACATGCAAGTATAGTAGCGACACGGATCAAGCTTGCTTGCCACCCTGACTTATTGGCCACATGGAATCTAACCCGCTACCCGGCATAGTCATCCACGTTGCCGTTCACTTCAACTCACTCAAACGTTCATCAACTCACTTGAGCTGCGACTTGAGGTCGCGGATCATGTCCTGCTCCTGTTTGGAGAGCTCTCTGTGTTTGTGCTGCTCCTTTTTGATGGGTGTACAGGTCTCCTTTTTGATGTCCTTCTTGGTGTCCTCGGTGTCACCGGAGCCGGACGCCTCTGCCGACTGAGAGCCGCCCTGGCGCAGAACAAGGGGGTCAGCTGTTTGTGTACTATAGGGATTCAGTGAGGAGATAACCGCAGGTTGTTTGAAAATTGACAACCACTATTCCTTAAAATTGTGTTTTTCTATTGATAAGCTGCAGTTCTAGGGCACACAAAGAGGGGTTACCGGAATATAACTACACAGTTACACACAGCTACCACGGAATATAGCTAGCTAAATTTCAGTAACATATTTGGCATCACCTCGCGAGTAGACTTCATGCACAATATTCGCCAGGGGCAAGCAGCTGGCCGGATCCTTAGTAGGTAAGCAGACGTTTAACAAAACCAACCTTCAGCCACGCCCAGCCATCTGTCCACCACTGGGTCATCTCACCAACGTCTCCCATCATTTCCCAGTCACTGATCCTACTCTATGTATCTTCCTTTTGGTGCCCATTCCATCATATATTCTCGTGACCGTCCCTCTGCCATTCCAATCACCTCTCCCACCCCTCCCTCTCTATTTTCTCCCACCTGTTCTCCGTCTCCGTCCTCTTTCTTGACGTCGGCCTCCTCCTTCACGGCAGCGTCGTGCGCCTGCTGCGGGTGCTCCTCCTTAACATCTCGGTCGGACGAGGTCGAGTCCTGACGCTCCGAGGTGCGACGGTACTTCTCCTGGTTCAGCTCCTCCACCTCACGGCGAACCTGATAGAGGACGGGGACGTCAGAGGTCAGATAGTGCGGGCTCGAAAAAATCAGATGTCAGCCAAGTCAGGTAAGGTCAGATCAAGGCAGACCACGTCGAATAGGGCTGACGTAGGGCAACGATTTATTGTTGGACACAGATCAAGTAAATTCAGTCGCGCAAGGTCTGAATTGTAAGGCAACATATTTTACAGTTCGGACCGTGACAAGTAAAATCAGGACTCAGGTCAAAAATAACGACAACGCAATTACAGAAAACACTCGCCAAAACAGAATCTCACCATGATATAAATTTATCTCACCTTGATGAGTTCGATGTTGGTCTCCTTGTACTTTCTGCGGTAGCGCTGCACCTCGCCCTTGAGCTGCTGGTTGTGGTTCTGCAGACTGGTGATGAGGTGTCTCATCTCACGGTTGATCGGGCCCGTCTGCTCGTTGGCGGCCAGGTTCTGTTCGAACTCGATGCGCAGCATCTCGTACTCCTTCCTCACTCGCGCCAGCTCGTCCTCCTGTTGGATTTCCTTGGTGCGGAGCTTCCTCTGAGAGAGGAGCTCTTCACTCTGTAAGAAAGAGGGGAGAGAAGGGTGATAGATCTTTTTGGTGTGGAGCTTCCTCTGCGGGAGCAGCCCCTCACTCTGCCAGGGAGAAGAGAGAGAAATGGGGGACTGACAACAAGCGCGACACACGCCACTGCAGGTAGTCCTCAGGACGAACCTGTTACTTTCAGTGGACGAATGGTCCCTTAAAAGCGTAAGCATTATAAACATGTGAGTACGACGCAAATAAATAGTGCCCTCAATCCGGTATCCGTAAGAATGTGAACAAGTTGGCAGAAAGTCAGTGCCACTATTCTATTTCGACAAGGTGGAAGGTGACGAAAACCTGCTCAAAATAACCTAAACACGGGGTCAAACTAAAATAGCTCACACCAAGCCGAATCCTGTAGCAGCATCCGGCGACAGTCAGGCTACCTGTCATCCATACGTATTCAGTACCGGCAAATCCGCGGTTCCATCCAGGCCGTGTCACCACATCTCAGTACCACATTCAGTAGGTGACGACAGCCCCAGCCGGGCCCGTCCGTTCCCCGCCCAGCCCAGGCACAATAATACCGCCGTCTGACCCGCACGTACCCCGGGGAGGCGTCTCATCACCGACACAGATGGACCCGGCACCCGGCCGCGGTCTCTGGAGACGGCACACGTGAGCTGGTGTCCGGGCCATAACAGGATAGAGCGGCGGAGGGAGGTGGGCAGAGGGAGGGGAGGGAGAGATGGCCTTGTGGGTAGGAGTAGTGGGAAAGATCGCGCTAAATAAGCCAACACTTTTCGATATTAAAGAATAACAGCGATAAAAGTCGAATGAGAGAGTAGGCCCGGTCGAGAAGATGAACTCGAGATGAAGTCGAGAAGTCGAATGAGTTGACTGAACAGTAAACACACACAGACTATGAGAAGAAATCGAGCCCAGAGAGCCTGTAAATCCGGCCCATCATCCCTCATACATCTAACTTCCGGTAGCGTCCCCGTCTCGCTCACCTCCATCTGTTCGATCTGTCGCAGGTGGGCGCTGGTGCACGACTGCTGCTGCTGCTTGGCCTCCTCCAGCTGTGTGCGCAGCTGACGCCACTCGTTGTAGAGCACCGAGAACTGCGACTGCAGGCACTTGTACTCGGGCGTCTCCACGATCACTGACTCGGGCAGCTGGCGCAGCTGAAAAACATGGACGGAGAGCGGGGTGGGGTCAGACGACGCGGCACCAGCTACTGGATGGCAGGGGAATGCTGCAGCTGATAGGCACACACTCGGGAAAAAGGAGAGAGGTCAGCGGTCTCCATAGAGGATGTTATAGGTAGCGTCGGTAACACGGACTATCATCTCCAGCAAAGCAACTTGTGCAGGTGCATGCCAATCACTTTCGGACCTGTTCCAGAAATTATTCGCTATCTGAGCATTACCGATAATCGGGTAGGACAGGGGAGGCAGCGGCAGCCCTATGAACCCATCCCAGGGCATAATTGCACAATGCACAGTGCAGGCTGACCCTCGCAAATAGCGCTTATTCAACGGAAAGCTGCACACTTTATGTTTCATTTAACCACATAAACCACCATCAGTCGCTCCTCTCCCACACTACTTACGTCCATTTTGAGTTTTTCGGCCTCTTTGAGCACGTCCTTGTGTTTGCGGTGGAGGTCCTCGAGCTCCTGAAGCCGCTTGGTGGCCAGCTCTCGCTGCTCCTCCAGGTCCAGGTTTATCTCCTCGATCTGTCCGGGAGACACAGGATGCAGACGCGGTCAGTACAGAGTCGCGGTCGGGAAATCAGAATGCCGACTGCGCACAGTGTCGGCGCCGGCAGCAATGTTACAACCAAACGTAAGAGCCTAGCTGGCAGACTTTCGGCATGGAATGAAATGGGCTATAATGATGCAGGTGCTTTATTTAAACCAGAATTTAAACATCGAACAGTCGCTATCGGCTAGGCAGATTCGGAATATGAAAGAACTTAACGTTGTTCGCGTTAAGGATCTATACAACTTCTCTGCTAAAAGATGGCATACTGCGTTAGAACTGAAAAGAAAATGGAACAATTTAGATATCATGACGTGCAACACTCTTGTGAGCGTTGTGCCGTCATCATGGCGGCAAGTTCAAATGAACACGGAACCTAGATTAAGCTCAGATAAACATCTGGAGACAATGATGACAGTAGGAAGCGTCACAAAATGGGCTTACAAAAAATTGGTTAAGCCTAAACTATTAGAGACATGTCAATGCGAAAATAAATGGAATGTGGAACTAGGCATTACACCTCAATGGAAGAAATGGTTTAAAATCTTGACGGAAAGTACTAAAAATATCGATTTGAGATGGTTTCAGTTTCGACTTGTGCATAAAATACTCCCAACACGTAAAATGTTGAAGATGTTCAAATTAACGGACAACGACCAGTGCGTTTTTTGCAAACAAGCCCAGGAAACGGCAACACATTTATTAGTACGGTGTCCAGTAGTTGAAGTCTTCTGGAACAAAATATGGATGGGTTTCAAGCGCGGTAACATATCATATCGGAATGTTGAACTATTACCTCGAAAAATAATATTTGGCTCATGTAAAGATAAAGCCCAAGACTTTAATCTGTTCTTGCTCCTGGCCAAATGGTTTATTTGGAAACAAAGTAGGAACGAGAGCATGCTTACGATGCGTTCATACCTGACTCATTTACGACAATATCAAAACGTGCAAGAATGTGTTTATAAAATCAACGGCAGAGTTGAGGAATTTAATACTCTTTGGGAGGCAACCTCAAAAATGATTAACATCCTCTCACAGGAATCATGAGCAACGATCGCGTCGGGGACGTGAAATGGTCGAGTTTTGTTTCCCCTGCTTAATGTTTCTGCGTGGTAACGAGGCTAGTTACAGGGACAGGCGTGTGGGACGTGCGGCGCCGGTCGCGTGGGACCAGACGCCGGTCCCACACGAGACCGCCGCGCCCAGATCGTATCGTAACCCGCAAGTGCCATGTACATACTATGGTTATGTTCGTATCTGTTCTAGGTGATAATGTAATAAATGTATAAAAAAAAATGAAATGGGCTACCTCTAAACAGTGAACATAGCAGAAAAGCAATATCCCTGCAAAGAAAGGTATACAATGTTTTCCACATCCTGCACCTCAAATTCTTCAATTCACGTTGATTCAAAACTATATCACATGAACCCAAAAGGTTTTTAGCGTCAAGCATAACCAACCAGTCGGCAGTCACATCCAGTCATCTTACCTCAGCTCCCAGTACGTACCATTTTCTGCACGGAGCCGGTCACCTTGTAGGACTTTTCCGGTTTCCGGGAGCTGCCCAGACCGGAGCTCTTCTGGGCATCGTCGGGCCGCAGATCCTCCACCTGCTGCTCAAAGTACTTCAGCTGAAAACAAAATGAAAACGTTGAGACAAACCAGCGCACACAACACGTGATAGTACTATTGCGAGATATTCCACGATCCACAGCAACGGTAACGCCACCCTATCCGAGCGCTCCACGACTAACTTCATAGGTGGCGCGACTGAAAGTAGACCAACGTTTCCACCTATAATCATCATATAGGGCCTTCTGGTAGTCATCTACCTAAAACCACCATCGCAAAGCCAGTAATCGCCAATCAAATACTCAATCCCTCTAGCCACCTTACAGTGTGGCAAAGGACAGACCATCGAGTATTCCCCGACCCAAACAGTTAAAAAAGCGCGTCCCACCAACACCACCCCACCACGGCACCGAGCACGCCACTCCCCCGCCGTACCTTTTCGGACGCCTCAGCCAGGTGGGTCTCCAGCTTCTCGTTATAGTTGCGCGTCTTCTCCCACTCGTAGAGTAGGTCGTCGTGTCGATTGCCGAGTTCGTCCTTCTCCGTCTGGAGGGCTGTGAGCCGCTCCTGCAGCTCGGCGGTCTGGGGACGGACGGAGAGGGCCGGGGTTAAAGATGGGAGAGACGGATGAACAGGGATAAGTCACAGAGGGGACAGGATGAGCGGGCGGATGGTTACAAAAGACATGGACGAGTTATCTTTGAGAGCGATCAAGGCATGGGTATACATATGTGTCAGCAGGGAGAGCAACAGAGGGGATGAGATAAGCCATGGGTGGACGGTCACAGTTGAAGAAGAATGGAAGGACAACCACAGACAAGATATTATTAGCGGGCAGACAGTCACAGCTGAAGAGGATGGACGGTAAAGGGTCATACTCGGGACAGAACGATGAAAGGATGGGCAGTCACACACATGTAAGACAGGCGGACAACGCCGGATAACGGTCGTAAACGGCAGATGGATGGAAGACAAGTAAGGACAGCCACGGGAACGATAGACGGAACGGGAAAACGGTCACAGTAATAAAGGAAGCATGGGGCGGGCGGATAGGGAGTCGGGACAATTGAAGAACTGTATGGATGGCGAGGGAACCAGTCATAATCGGGACATATAGGCGGAGCAGCGAGATTAAAACATTCAATCACAAACGGCTGAAAAAAGAATGCCAGTGGCATTCCAGCGTTTCCACGACATGTATGTTATTTTAAAGCACCCCATACACGACTATGAATCGTCATCGTGTAGAAAATTGTGATGTGTTCACTTTCCAGATGTCAGGGATCTTCTGTTCCCTTCCCCTCTATCGGTCTCACACATGAGAACGAGCGTCGCGCCTCACCTTTAGTGACATGGTGTGGTGCTTCTCGTGCAGTGCCGTGTTGAGCGCGTGCAAACTGGCGTTCTCCTTCTGCAGGGTGAGGTTCATCTCTCGAATCTCCTCGTCCAGGTTCGGCGGGTCCTCTGTAACACAATTGCAGCGGTTTCGTAAAGATGAAACACTGAAAAAGGACGAGCTCAAACGAAAACGATGAGCATTTTGTATGCAAAGGTACGTAGAAATCGCAGGCATTCCGTGGAAGCAAAGGGAATCTATTTTTGTGGTCAGTCAGTGTTACCTTGAAGTTCATAGCAGCGTACACTGAAAAAAATGCACTCAGGGCGATAGGTAGCTGTCTAACACCCCACTATCACAGTCTCTGTTTACCGCTCTCTCCCGTACCGTTTTCGGCGGCCGCCTCGCCCTTCAGCGCCAGTGTAATTTTCTCATTGCGCTGCACCACGCGGTCAAACGCCTGCAGGATCTTGGCGACGGCGCGCTTGGAGACCTGAACACGTCTGGCCAGCTTTTCGTCCAGCTCCTGCTTGTCCCACGTGGACAGCTGCGTCAGGAACGAGGTGGTCGCCTCGCTCTCATCTGCGCAGGGCGAAACAGAGAGACCGATCAGTATTCAGTGAGTGGGCGGCAAGACAGGAAAGAAAAGAGCAACATGTCAACATATCAACGCCATGTTCTGTGGAAATATGTGGTTCTTTTACATTACATACAATCGATGGTTTAATGTGAACAATCAGACCTAATGCCACTGACGGCAATACTATTATATACGTTTGTTTATTAGGGCTTTAGGGCACATCTTGACTACAAAGGTCATTTTGCGCCCCACTGCCGTACACGCTAGCTCCTTTTGAGTTTCAACACTGCCCCGCCGCGCCCCACCGACTGACTTTTGCTCTCGAACTCGTCACTGGTCTCGGCGTCGAAGCGCTGCAGCAGCACGCGCATGTCCTCGTTGAGCTGGTTCCAGTAGCGGTTGATGATGTTGAGTACGGCGTCGTCCTGGATCTGGCGCTTCTCCAGCTGGTCGATCCTGCCCCGGAGCTCCTGGTCGGCCCGGTGGTGCCGCTTCAGACGCTGCGGACGACGGCAACATGGACGGGTCAGTGGACTGAGGCGCCATATGGTGACTTTTCCAGTACGGAGGTTTGTACTTTTTGAAGATTGAGTGAAGAAACAATCTTCGGTGGCATTTTAAGCATGCCATTTAAGAAAAATACATGATGGTAGCAAATAGTCTGAGACAGCTCACAGTTCATTTCATTCTTATTCATATCCATAATTCAGCTCCTCTGGCAAAAACATTACAAAATGTTGCAAACATTTCTACCAAACAACAGAACAGAAGAGCTTAGGTGCTTTTTTCTGCTTGATAACAAAAAAGTAAGAGCAGATTCATCAGTTACCTCGGCCAGCTTTTTGTTTTGGAAGTGCAGAGTCTTCATGTCGATTTCTTCGAGAGTGGAGACAGGTCCGATCTTGATCTGCTCGAACTGCACCTTCTTGGGGGGCGGTTCCCCGCCTACCCCCTCGTCGGCCCCTCTCTTGGCCATTGTCAGTGTTTAGGTGTGGGACCTATAACTTGTGATGGCTCTACCTGAAAGGCACATAAGAAGTCATAGTTAACAGAAGGTCAAAATAAGTAACTAAACAGCTGTGAACAGGTGACATGATTTTGATATGATCTGTTGTTCAGTAAAAAAATAGAACACATGCCAGTTGCTAACCAGATATAGTTCTCTTGGCTTTCACTTCATGTTACACTTCTTATGCATCAGATCATTAATCCATATATTTTCATGTTTGATGTTTCTACCACTTATTAGAGAGGTGATGTATGGTGATGATCTATTATTCACAGATATTAAAAATTCAAAAAGTGCCCAATATGTAATCAGACATAGACTTTCATCAGTGGTACAAGACAATCCATTCAGTGTACCTACCAGTTTATTGGAATTCACCAGCGGTAAAATGCAAATATGTTTGTAGATAAATCTACTATCTAGATTGTAAAAGAAAATATCTGAAGAAATAATTTCAAGGAAAAGAACACAAGCTTATTATCAAAGTCATAGTCTAATTTTTCTGCTATATGTTGACCACTCTGATAACTTGCATTTTTTAAGATATTCAATATTACCTGTCATACCAAGGGAGTCAATTTGAGCCTATGATTAGACTCTTATCCCCCTTTGTTCCCTTCTCAGAATATTGAGCATGAAGCCAGTTCTACAAACAGAAAAAAAATGATCTACTTAAGAATAAGATCTTGTAGTCTTGAAATTTGAAAAGCCCAGCACTTATGTGAACCACACAGGAAAAAACTGCTGGTGTTAGGAGAATCATCAGCCATATAGGTAGTAACCAATAATATAAAAAAATCATCAGCCAGTATGCTATTTCCTTAGGTATATCAGGCCAGCATGAGTTTAGTACGGTTCATATGAATCTGCATGCTTAACACTCTACATAAGCATGCAGCGACCAGCACAAATATCAAAATGGGATCCCTATGTTGGTGCAGTGCAGGTAAGAAGGAAACACAGTAGGAGAATCTATGTTTAATTTAATATGAAAAAATATCAACCATTAAAGCATTTGTAGATAGGTTTCCATATTATTTAGCATGGAAAAGTAGATTCCAGCCCTAAGAAATTTGTTTTGATGAAAGTCTTAGGCCTGGCTACTGGCTAGTGGCTACACTAGGTACCTATGCAGTTTCTGCGTGCATCTTAGTGTTGTGAGTTTGCATCTTTTGCGTAATATCGTTCCAGAAAAAAAACTATTTACATTTATATATAACTAATATAAACGTTATACTAATTATCACTTTTTCTAGAAAGATATTACACAAAACACGTACACGCAAAAACGCACACACGAAATGCATAGGCCAGCATGCAGGCCATGAAATGCCAGGCCTTTAACTTTCAACACTGCCTAATTTTTCTTGAAGAATTAAAAAGGTAATGACCTTGCAGAAACCACTTATTATACTTATGAAAAGATCATTCTTCCAGTTCTTGTTAGCACCGTTTTGACCTTGTAGAAAAGGACGGGGAACTCCGCCTAACAAAGCGAATATTTGACGTTTCTTACAAAATATGAGGTGCTAGAGACTGTTAAGCTGCGAAGAACATTATACATATTACATGGCACAACAAACTTTTGATAAAATATCACCGAAATAATTCCCAAAGGAAACCCGAACCGACCAATACCCGACGCAATACGAAACAGAAAGAGACAAATGCGAATAGGCAATTTCCCTCAAGGAGCCCCAATAAGTGATTTTTGCTTTGATTGTAGAAATTTGATTACGTCATAAAACTACCTTTTTGATTTGAGCTGAGTCAACATGACGTCATCACCGTGAAAGAAGTCGCTTTCGATTCGTCACGGATTCGTCAAAAACATTACGTCACAAAACCATATTCGACCGAAACAGAGGCCGGCAATTCTTGCGAAATTGAGCTCTCTGCCTTTCTCGGCTTATGAATTTCGTATGGTTTTCGGTAAAATCGTTCAATAATATATGTGCGCATAACCAATATTACTGGTCAGTGTTGCACGTGAAACTGCGGATTTCGAAAGCCATGCTAAAGTTACAAAAGTTTTCAGGTAAGCATAACCTTGAACATAACTGGGCAATGGTGGATTCAGCAATGTTTTAGTTGGGTTGTTTGGATTCGTTTTTTAAATTAAAAATCATATTTCATAACACCTGATTTTTGTATTAGGTTAGGTTAGGTTAGGTATATACGGAAAAGAAAGGTCCTGAGGGACCTGGGTGATTTCCGATCAGTGGCATTTCAATGTCTTCTTAGTTCCGTCTTGTTCTCGGTGACTTCGTTTCCTACTCGTCAAGCGTCTTCTTCACTGCCTTGGTCTCAGTTCGTAGACTCGGTGCGCCCAGAACTTGTCAAGTCGATTCTTGAAGGCGTTGACGCTTGGGGCAGATACAACGTCCGCTGGGAGTCCATTCCAGGCCGAGATGACGCGCGAACAGAAGGAGACTTGACGCAGCTGGGTGTTGACTCTGGGCTGTCTCAGTTTCAGGCCGTGGTTCCTCGTTCTCTGGGACGGTTCTCGTTCCAGCAGGTCACCAGCTGTCACCTTCAGGCGTCCCGTCAACATCAGATACACTGTGATGACATCACCCCTCAGCCTCCTGTAGTACATGCTGGGGAGCTTCAGTTCCCTGAGCCTGTCCTGGTACTCGAGATGTCGCACGGAGTGGACGAACCTTGTCGCTCTCCTCTGCACCCTCTCCACGGCGTCTTGATCACCTCTGGACGTCGGTCCCCAGACTGAGTTGGCGTATTCTAGATGGGGCCTCACCATGGTCTTGAAGAGGATGGGCAGTGTAGTCTTGTCCAGTGACAGGAATGTGCGCTTGATGAGTCCAAGAATCCTGTTGGCGCGTCCCACTGCTGCTGCTGTCTGCTCATGGAACTTGAGGGTATCATCAACGAGCACCCCGAGGTCCTTCTCCTTCTTGACAACGGTCAGCTCAGTCTCGGCCATCCGGTACTCGAAACCAGGGTTTGTGCTCCCCAAGTGCATGACTTTGCACTTACTCCTGTTAAAGGGGAGCTGCCACACAGCTGACCAAGCCTCCAGTGCTGATATGTCGTCCTGGAGAAGACCTCTGTCAATGTCACTGGACACCCTCCTGTACACCTTGGCGTCATCTGCGAACAGCTTGACGGTGCTGCTGATGGCGTCCGGTAGGTCGTTGATAAATAACAGGAATAAGACAGGTCCCAGGACAGACCCCTGCGGGATCCCGCTGATGACATCAGTCCACTCTGAGAAGTGACCCTCAACAGCAACACGCTGTCTCCTGTTACCGAGAAAGGCCTGAAACCAGTGTAACAAGGGCCCATCAACTCCGCAAGCCTTCAGCTTCAGCAGGAGCCTCCTGTGCGGCACGCTGTCGAAGGCTTTGCGAAAGTCAAGATAAATGACATCCACAGCACTGCGCTCGTCAACAGTTCTCAGCCAGTCTTCAATTACCACCAGCAGCTGCAGTGCACAGGATCGTCCAGGTAGAAACCCAAACTGGTGCTCAGACAGTACGTTCTCCGTTATCAGGTGATCCAGCAGAGCGTCCCTTACAAAAGACTCCAGCACCTTGCAGCAGATGGAGGTTAAGCTCACTGGGCGGTAGTTTCCAGGCAGACTCCGGTCACCAGCCTTAAAGATGGGCGCGATATTTGCAGCTCTCCAATCCGCCGGGAGCTCTGCGGAGTCCAGCGATTTCTGGAAGATTGTCTTCAGGAGGTGGCTTAGTGGGCTCGCCAGTTCCTTCAAGATCCGTGGGTGGAGCTCGTCTGGTCCTGGGGACTTGTTTATGTTCAGTGCCTCTAGTCTCTTCTTCACTTCTCGTGCAGATATCTCAACCTCAGTTAGTCTGGTACCGTTGAACCTGGAAGTAGCCTGTGGAGTATGTTGATCTTCAACAGTAAACACACCACTGAAGAAGTGACTGAGTGTCTCTGCCTTCTCTCTACCGCTGTGGGCTCTTGAGTTGTCCTCTCTCTTCAACTCTTCTACTCTCGCCTTCGTCTTGAGTTTAGACCTGACATACTTCCAAAAGCATTTAGGGTTCCTTGTGACATTCTTCGCCAGGTTGTTCTCATGTTGTCTTCTAAGTTTTCTTGACAGCTTCCTTAAGTCATTCTTTGCCCGTTTGAAATCCGCCAACGATCTTCCATCTCCAGAGCGGCGGTAGAGTCCATACAGATGGTCCTTCTTCCTCTTGGCTCGTATCAGCTTGTTGTTACTGTATGGTTGTCGCTTGTTCCTTACAGTCTTCATTGGTATGTACCTTGCTTCGAGACACTTTATCAATTCCTTTAGACAGTTCCAACCCTCTTCAACTCCTAGGTTCTGCACCCTGTGACTTATATCTGATGTTTCAATATCATGGGCCATGCTTTCAAAATCCGCATTTCTCATATCCTTCACAAGAGCACGCTTCGAACATACATCAGCATAACATCTTATCTTGAAAATCAAGCAGTCATGGTGGCTGTTTCCAATAGGTGGCCGGTGGTTCAGGTCCTGTATCATGCTCTCTTCTGACGTCAAGACCAGGTCCAAGAGACTTGGTGTTCGGTTGGGCATGAAGTGGGTTGGTGAACACACATGTTGACTCAAGAAGCAGTGCTGGATGGTTTGGATGAACTTGTGCGTGTAGTGCTGGTCTCCTGCAGTTGACATTCCCAGACTCCAGTCAATTTCTCTGTAGTTGAAATCGCCAACTAGTACAAGGTGACTTGGCTGGCTGTCACACACCTCCTCCAACAGGGTACACAGGGCCTCTGTGGATCTATGGCCGTCCCCGCTGGGGCTCCTGTACACAGCACCGAGCACTAACATGTCGCTGTTCCTCAACTTAAGCTTAACAAACACAGCTTCTTGAAAGAGACTGCCAAACTTGACCTCTGCTGGCCTTAGCTCACACCGTACCATGATTCCGACACCTCTTATGCTTAGCAGTCCCAAATTCTCTAGTTCCGGATCAAAGTTGAGATATGTTGTGTAGTCTTCTCCAACTGAAAAGAATGACAGTGACAGTGGTCTTCGTTGCGCTTTAGGTACACACTCAGTGAGGACCACTATATCCGGCTTATCATCTTCAATTCTCACCAACAGTTCATCCATCTTGTTTGGGAGCCCATCAATGTTAGTGTACATAACTTTTAAAACCTTAGGTACCTCAGCATGCAACACGTCACCCAGGTTTGTGCCATTTACACACACATTCTGCATAGGTGCTGTGAAATTGTTGTCATGCAACATGGGACAGGCCACATTCACATTATCACTCCAGCATGCAGTTTGTAAAAGCGATTTGCAGGCAGCATGGGCAAGCTGGGCCCCATCCACACCTTCCATGCGAAGATATCCTAGCAATATGTCTTTTACTCTTTCATTTAGTCAGACTGTACTCCCGTGATCAGCTCGATCACTCTGTCCTGCCTCAGGGTTTGGCTGCAGAATAACGACCCTTCCTCTCTGTATACGGACAGTCTTTCCTTCCTCTCGGAGCCTCTTCGCCTCAAGTCGCAGCTTGCGGTCCTTCTCCCTCTCCTCAGGGGTCCTGTCCGGAGAGAGGAACACCCCTCGGTACCTCTCACTGTCTCGCAGCTGTGGAGCCATCCTCAGTATGTCCCACTTTGTCCCTTCTTCGACCAGTGAAACTATCAGTGGTCGTGGTCGATCCTGCTGCCTTTTCCCTGCCCTGAAGACCTGCTTGATGTTGGTTGAGATGTGCAGCTCTTCCCGGATCATATTCTTAAATGCCTCAATGTCCTTCTCAGTTCTTCTTTTTGGGTCCTCGTCCACACTCTCTGGAAGGTTATGCACCACAATATTTTGCTTCCGCCTTTCCTTTTCAAAGAAGTCACCAACAGATTTGACCAAAGTCTCGCCTGATCCAGACTCTGCTGTAGTTCTCACTTCTCTTGCCGATATGGCCTCTATCTTGGCTCCCAGTGACTTGATTGCCTCTGCATAGGTTCTCCTCTGCTCTTGTTCTGTAGAAACAACTACTTCAGCTTGATCTTCCTGGCACTTGATCTTTTCCTCAATGCGCAGCACAATGTCTGATACTTGCTTTGTCTGCTCCTCACAAGACAGGTGGCATGCTTTGATCACGCTTGCCTGTTCTTCCAACTGCGTCTTGAGATCATTATACACTTCTTCCTGCACTCTACATAGGTCCCTGCTGCTACTTGCTACACCCGCAACTGCTCGTGCCTGGTCCACCAGCAGCTCCTTGAACTCGGTCAGGGATCTCCCAACCTGCTCTGAGAGGTCCAGTCCTGCCCGTGTAACAAGGGATGGGATGAGCGCCTGGCAGAATGAACAGACCCAAAATATCTTGAACCTGCTGAGAGCATCAAACTCCTCGGCTGACTGAAGCTGACACATCATGTGGTACCACCTGTTGCAGACATCACAACATATGCATGTGTCCTCCTTAATCTCCTTATTGCAAGCCTTCCCTGAACTACCACGGCAAATAAGTTCATCCTCCTCCTCCCCCATCTGTCCATCTCTACCTCCCTGATCACTTCTGGCTCCATCTCCACCTTGTTTACTTCCACGCAACATGAAGGTTACCTTCTTTGACGAACCTGGCGCAGTCTTGGAAGAGGCCAGTTTGAGTTTACCTGGCACTTTATCTCCCGCTTTTGCTTCAGGCATGAATATCCAATGCTCTGTTACTTTCCAAAGCAACAACAACAAAAATCTTGCAGATTTATGCACAAATCACCCAAGTTTGGAGGACCAGTGGGAGGACAACCGATCGGCAAGGAGGCGGGAACCTAACCAATATTTTTTAACTTTTGTTTGAAATACGTTCACCATGAATGAACTGTCAGGGTCAAACAGACCTCACATTTCTTACGTTAAAAGTTAAATTGGCCGAGAGTCTGCTACACAGGCGCAGCTGCATTGTGAGATGTATGAAAAGTAGATTTTTTCCTGATTTTTTATTGAATGAATGTTTCTTTTGACATTCATGACAGTGAATCACTGGGGGTATTCTCTTAACAGACGTCACCCGAGCTGTCATATCCAGTTAGGTAGGTTGGTAGGTTAGGTTGTGGGTTGGTAGGTTAGGTTGTAGGTTGTAGGTTGGTAGGTTAGGTTGTAGGTTGTAGGTTGTAGGTAAGGTTAGGTCAGGTTAGATTATGTTTTGTTATATATTTAACTGTGAAAAGACAATTGTTGCGCACGTGAGACGTAGATATGGCAGCTCGGGTGACGTCTGCTAAGAGAGTACCTCACTGGGTAGTGGGTATGGTAGAGGTCGTTTGTGGGAAGAGTCCACAGCAGGTACAGGAATCAGTGAGGCTGAACTTGCACTTTGTAGCCCTTTTTGATAGAGATGATAAGACTCAAATTTGATTACAAAACAGAGGGGTGTTCACGGGCACCGCACACTGCTGCGTGCGGTGTGTGCGGTGCGTCCAGCAGGCGTGGGGGTAGGGGATGGGTAGGCGGTTCTGACGTCACGGCGCGTGCGGTGGACGGTCCGCTGTGGCCAGTCCCGACCGGCCACAGCGATCGCTGTGTGCGGTGACGGAAGGGTGACGTAGGGACGCAGTGGGCGGAGCTTCGAGGCTGTGTGCGGTCCGACCGCACACAGGGCCCGTGAACAGCCCTCAGGACAAGGTGACACAAGGGCAAAGTTTCAAGCTACAAAGATTCTTTGGCTCCCAACATTCACAGAATTATGAAAAATGAAATGGAAAAAGATTCTGGCTGTAACTTGTGACCTGAACATAAACCCAAATGTTAAATGATTGAGGAAAAGTAGGTGGGCAACTTTCTGAAAAAAAAAATTAATTGCTGAACTGAAAGTGATGAATGTCAGCCATATTGCTGCAGTTCATCTGTTTCAGATTTCTACAGCTCAAACAAGCAAGATGAATTGGTAGTGATTGCACAATATGCTGTATGGTATGATGGGGTGTGGCTGCTACCTACTCAGACTCTTAAACTCATGAAATGAGATGCACTAAATGAAATGACAAATAAGAAAACTTTTACACCCAAAGTTTGTTGGGTGTTTTACCATAGGTAACACAGCTTGCAAGCATACTATATTATATGTGGTCTTCACAAATTTGTGAGGAGCTGATAAGTTCAACAGTGTTGTGTGTTTTGAATGGGTACCTACTTTATATACTCTAAGAAGGTGTGAATCTATGAATCTATTCTAACTAGGGTTTAACTACCTAAGGTATCTTTTACAAAATCTTGTGATATGTATAATGTAATTGTGCTGGTTGTCAGGGTTGTGCTTGACTCATGAGTCGAGTCAGAAATTTGACTCAACTCTGACTCAAATGAGTCAGATTTGAGTCGAGTCGGATACAATGTTGAGCTGTTGAGTTGAGTCAGAGTTGAGTCAGACAAAAATATTAAGGTGTTGAGTTGAGTCAGAGTTGAGTCAGTAAAATAACTTTTGACATTGAGTTGAGTCAAAAACATGTAGGAACATGAGTCAGCTGACTCAACTTTCTAGAAACAATATATAGTATAAGTTTTTCATTCTCCCCCCCGCTTTACAACTTAGGCCTGGCCCTGCTGCCGGATTTTTTTTCACCCCCCCCCCCGCTCAACAACTTTTTTATCTGAGTCAGTTTTGAGTCAAGACACTTGACTCAACAAAAAATTTGAGTCAAGTTTGAGTCAACTCATATTTTCATTGAGCCGCTTGAGTCATGAGTCGAGTCAAGGGAAAAAATCAGCTCCTTGTTTGAGTCAGAGTTGAGTCAGGGCATTCTGAAGTTGAATGATGAGTCGAGTCAGCAAATTTTTTTGAGTCGAGCACAACCCTGCTGGTTGTGTCTCTTAAAATCGAACTACAATCTATTTTGGTGCACTGCTTATCATATATGCTGCTTTTTAGAGCAGTACCTATGGTGCTTTCTTTATAGCTTAGGTATTAACTTAACCTGTTCAAGCACCCAAAGTTACAGGTAGTACAGTACTGAGTGCGGCTCGTGACAGCTGTTTCCCGCCTGTTCCAGTGTCGTGACGGCCGGTCGGCGGGCAGACGCGATGTCCGGGGGCGCGGCCGGCGCCGGCCGGCCCGGCCCCTCAAAAGGCCGGCGCACGCGCAGCCGGGGAATGACCGGCGTGGCCAGCTCCTTCCAGAAACAGAGTGAAGACTTCCTCTGCCCGATCTGCTTCGACGTCATCGAGGAGGCGATGATGACACGCTGCGGGCACACGTTCTGTAACCGCTGTATCGTGCAGAGCATCCAGCTCAACGGCCGCTGTCCCAAGTGCAGCCGCGCGCTGGACGAGGACAGCATCTACCCCAACTTCCTGCTCAACGAGCTGGTGACCAAGCACCGGCGCGCGCGGCGCACGCCGGCCCAGCTGAGTCGACTGGAGCCGGCTGAGTTGAAGGAGTACCTGGTCAGCGAGACGGCCGAACTCGGTCTACCTAACGTCAACCTGATGCTGGAGCTGCTGCAGACGCGGCGGCGCGCGCTCGAGGCCGACTCGCAGCGCACGCAGAACGTGCTGCTGCGCGAGTTCCTGACCACGCTGCGCCGCCAGCGGGAGGAGATGCTGCAGCAGTTGCAGCGCGAGCTCCAGGTGATCGACACCGACCAGAAGCGCGTCGAGCAGGCGCTGGACGGCGAGCGGCGCGGCGCGGCCGGCGGCGGGGACGGCGCGGCCGCCGGAGACGCCGCCGGGGTGCCCTGCGTTCCCAGCATGGAGGCGGAGCGCGGCGCGCTGCCCACCGAGTCCGTCTCACCCGACGTGGCCGGTCCGGTGGCCGTCTCCGATGGCGAGGTGCCCGAGGGCTTCAACGTGGTGCGCGGCGCGGTGGCGCAGACTCCCGACTCGGACGCGCTGGCGCGGCGGCGACGTCAGGTACACAGTCACTTTGATGACCTCGTGAAGTGTTATTTCTCGCTGCGGCCGCGCGCGGTGCACCTCGGCGCGGGCGGGGAGGAGGGAGACGCCTGCCCGCTGGACTCATTCAGTGACGCCCTGTCACGGCTGACACGATACAGCGGAATGCGGCCGCTGGCGTCTCTCAACTACTCTTCTGACCTGGTGGCCGTGCCAGCATCGTCTCCAGCATCGAGTTCGACAAGGACAAGGAGATGTTCGCCATCGCCGGCGTCACCAAAAGATCAAGATCTACGACTACGGGTTCGTGGTGCGAAACGCCATCGACATCCATTACCGACGCTGGAGATGGCCTGCACGTCCAAGATCAGCTGCGTCGCGTGGAACGGCTACCACAGTCGGTGCTGGCGAGCTCCGACTACGAGGGAGCCATCACCATCTGGGACACGGCCACCGGTCAGAAGCGGCACGTTTTATCAGGAGCACGAGAAGCGCTGCTGGAGCGTCGACCTTCAACCTGTAGACACCAACCTCATCGCGTCTGGAAGCGACGACTTCACGTCAAACTGTGGCGGCCAACGCCACCACTCGATCCTTCGCTGGAGGCGAAGGTGAACGTCTGCTGCGTCAAGTTCAACCCCCT